AGTTTTATTATAGAAACAGTTATGATTAATGTTTTGCACTAGAAACTCCTAAAGATTTTTAAAAATTTATTCTTTATAACAATTCTTCTTATTGTTTTTATTTCATTTCTTAAATAGCTAAATCAGCTTTTTATTTTAATGTGAGTTCTGTTTTATTAGTAGCAGATTAAGGTTAGGTCAAAATAATTTCAGATGATTTTGGTAATGCAGAGGAGATGAGAGATAATTATTTGTAATCGTCTTATATTTTATCAATTTTTGTAGTTTATGATTAGGAGTTTTAATGAGAATGGGGTTGAGTTTTGATATGATTTCCTCCTTATCTGATAACAGTTTTTTAGGGTATTAGCTTTTTTTCTTGACTAACAAATTTTGGAGACATGAAATCTTTTGATTTGAGCAAATCTGATTATTATATTTTTCTTTATGTTTACCTCAGATTATTTAATAAATTAATACTATTATTATGTAATTCTCAAATTACTTTAAGAACCATTCTATTTTAGCAATGGACTTTATTAATGAATAATTTATTTGTTAGCCTGAAATGAATTAATTATATTACTTTGAAATCCATTTATAATGTAGGTGAATTAGAGAATCTTGCTTAAATTTATTCTCTATTTGAGAGATAACTCATTAGAGCCAAAGGTGATATTTCTGAGGACTAAGTTTTATGATGTTATCTTTTGGGTGGCATAAAAATTAAATTTATAAATAAAAAATCATATATTATTATTTTAGAAGATTGTAAAAGAATTCAAAAATAAAATATTTTTATTATTATGATTGTTATTATTCAATATTCTATAAACAATAATATATATTTTTTCAATTTTCATTATTTAATTTTGACATGACTTTAATTATCAATAAGATGCATCAATTCTTTAATTTCAGTCTAAAATTCTTTACTTGCACTTTTTTAATACTTTTTTCCATTACTCTAATTATTATTAATTCTAGGTTTGAATGTACAATCAGCCATTTGTTTTTATTTTTATTTCTTTTATTGATTATCCATCTTATTTTTAAGTTTTTATTTCCATTCTTCATTTCGTTCTGCAATTGCAGTTGTTCTAGAAGTCTAAGCTCTATTTGTAGTTTATATAATCTCCTGTTCTTTTTATTCTTATTCTTTTGTTGATATTTTGGAATAATAAGTTTATCTTTCTTTTTATTGCACATATTAAGAGTTACTTTTGGGTTTAATTTAAGGTGATGAATTATTTGTTGTTTTTTTTCTTTAAGGATTTTAAGATTACTTTTTAGTAGGAGAAATGCTTTAAGTATATTATTTCTAAGATTTTCGAGATTATTAAACTGAATTAGAACTTTATATTGGAATTTGTATAGATTATTAATTATTATTGTTATGATTAGGTCTAACAGTGATTTACTATTCAGAAACATGTTAATTTTGGGATTATAATAATTATTCAATACATTTAGGTTTAATGATGTCTGGACTTAAACTTTTTCTATCTGTTTATTTTCTAAAAGAATCACTGTTTCTCAAGTAATCATCATAAAATTTAATTTTCTATTAAACACTTCTTTAGATATCTCTTATAATACAGGATGATTATTTAGCAGTAATTTTAGCATTAAACAATGATTCACTCAATTAAATAGTCTCTTTATCAACCTTAGTATGTGAGACAACTTTCATTGCATAATCTTGTTCATGTATTCTTCTTTTCTATTTCTAAGTAAAAAAAAATGTTTCATGATTATCATTCATTTCTAAATTAGATTGTTTTACTTGATAAAAAATAAAATTAATTTTATTATGTTTTATTATCTAAATCATTTAGACAGATTACATTAAGAAAGAGAATGTATCAATAATTTAGATGATGTAGATTGACATAAAAAATGGAACTCAAACTTTAATTTCTTTTCTTCTTTCTGGTTCCCACTCTTCCTCTAATGATCCAAGCAATTAAAATAAAATTGAACTTAAATATGAATTTTAAAAACCCTAATATTAAAAAATATAAATTCTTACTTCCTATGTTATATTAGGTTTAATGAATCTGTATAAATTTAAATATCCACTATATTCTTATTCTCGTGGAAATACTCCCAAAGATCTTTTGTATCTGTTAATCAATCTACCTTAATAATATAAATATATTCCAATATTATTTTAAGGTAATCTACATATACCATAAGCTTCTGTGCATTCATTTAATTTATTGAAAAGTTTACCATTTCCTAACATAACTTTGAATTTATTTTCCAATTTATTTTTAATAGATGATTAAGCTTATTATTAATCATTAATAAAGACTTTATAAGGAAATGGATCTAATGAATAAAATTTAATATATTCCTTTAAAGAATAATCAGGATATTTAATGGCTTCATCCAATTTTAAATCAAATGCTGAATATGTATTTGAGATGATATCATCATTATAAAGATTTAATTCAAATACTTTCTAATGAGAATGTATTTTAGCAAGATCAAAGATAAAAATCTTAGTATAATTGTAATTACAATTTAATATGAAATCTTCTTCAATTAAAAGATGAGTAATAGCATTTAATAAGACATATTTACTTTCAGGTGAATCTACTTTTCTCTCCTTCTCACTTGTAATAGTAAGAGTGTAATTATAAAATGTTAAGGAATCATCACTAGGATTTATATGGTTATTCATTGAAATAAAACCAACATAATAATTATTTTATGATTTATGACAAATTAAAACACTATCACCTAATCTAAGAGATGCAATTTTAAAATTTAATGCATATTATTTTTTATTGAATTATTATTATTCTTCTTAAATTAAACCTTCTCCTCCATTTCTTGTTATTTATTCATAATCTTATTTGTTTAAACATATTTTCTTCTTTGGAATATCAAAATTAAATAAATAATCACTTAAATCTTCTAAATCTTTTGTTTCTTTTTCAAATAAAATAATTAAAGGTATTTTCTCTTAAAGATCATCAGTTGTAAATTAAGATTTCTTTCTTCTTATTCTTTAAGCATATTCAATTTTTAATTCAGAAGCTTCTGATAATTTAGCATTATCTAAAAACAAACCAAAACATGACATAGGTGATTAAACTAGTTTGGAAATTCTAATTAAATATTTACTAAATATATTACTCATCAATGAAAGTCAAAGATAATTTTGGTTAACGAATAGCATTGTTTTCTGCTACTTTATTAAAAGAGATATCTTCCTCTTATTAATTTCCATATATCAATTAACAATATTTACAAACATTTTTCATTTCATCTCTTGAAAACTTTTATAAATGATTTTCACTATCTTTCAAATGTAATACCATGATGTCTTCTAGAACCTCACCCATACTTCTTAATCCACCAAATACAATCAATTAATCTTTAAAAACAATACAACTATGTGAAAATCTTGGCTAAAATATAGGTGTCTTAGATCTTGGTACTAATTTACTCCAAGTCTAACACTTTAATTAACTACTATTACCCTCATAACTGTTTCAAATATCCATATATCATTCTTAGGATATATTGGCTTTTCTTCTTCATCCATATTCTAAAAATTATCATCTTAATCTTATTCTATTGCTTCTTCTTCATTATCCTTTTATTAATCATATTGATAACTTATTAATATTTCAATAAATATACCCTTCTCCTCCTATTATAAAAAGAAATCTATCAGCATAAGCCACTGCAGAATGTGAAGCACGAGGTGTTGGCTATTAAGAACCATTCGGTTTGATCTTCTCAATTTTAATAACAATATTGTTTTCATTATTTTACTTTTTGTCTTCTTATGAATCTTATTAATCAAATCTTTGTTATAAATCATTCACACTCTCAAAATCTAATTTATATAAATCTTTATAAAATAATAATTGTTTTTGTGACATCTAACCTTAACCACCAAATATATAAACACTCTCTCCAATCTTATTTGCAGTATGACTTTCTAATTTAATCATCTCATCTCCAGTGAAATTAGTTATTTATAAAAATCTGTTTGTTTTTATATCATATAACCAATGTGATTCTGTCATAGTGTTCTATACTTAGTCCCATCCTCCATATATGTAAATTAATCTCTGAGATAAAGCTATCATTGAATGTCCTTCTCTAGCTTGCATATCTTTTGGTACTTATATTTCTGTCCACTCTGATGTCTCAATGTCAAAGCTCCAAAAATCACCCATTATGTAATCATTACTAGACCCTCCAAAAAAATACAATTTATTTTGAAGACAAACAGAACAATGAGAATCTCTACCAGCTGGATGTTAAGCAGATGGACTAATCAATCTTTCCCATTAAAATGTTAAGCAATCCATACGATAGATTTATTCCCATTATTTGGCATTGTCTGATTTACCACAACCACTAAATACATACATGTATTTATCATGCAAGACAGCAGTATGTCCCCATCTCTTACAAGGATAATTAGGACTTTTTCTTTTATTAACACTTTAATTTTTAGATATCCATTATGCATTTCTAAAGATTTTTGTAGGGATTGTTGTTATCTCTTATTGAATTTAATTCATATACTATTATAATTTAATTAATATTCATGATCACAAATTAAATTAAATATTCGTTTTCCTTAATACTTCTTACTATTTCAACTCTATATTTAATACATTAATTATCATACATATTCGAAATTTATAATCCTTAAATTAAGAAAAAAGTAGATAATTCTCAATATGTCTATTAGTTAATAGTAATATCAATGAATAACAATTTGAAAACAAGGTTTACTTAAGGTTATAAAGTACTAAATTTATAATATCAAATAGAAAAGCTATGATAAATTTGATTCATCATCATATTAACCTTATTAAATTGTTTAATTATGAAAATTAGATACTTTTTTTATATATTATAAATATTTAAATTAATTATATAAAATTGCTTAATTATTTGACTTGAGAATATTCTCTATCTTTAAAAAATAATAAAATATTGTAATATCCATTTTCATAATATTCAATATAATATATTCAATTTAATCAAATAAATTTATTTTATGTATTCTTTCTTTTTACTTTTTGTGTAAATTCAAATATCAATCTTGGATCCCAAGTATCTTTTTTTTATATTGATTTTGATATTACTGCTAAATTCTTATTTTCTGGACTATTATATTAAGTACTTTAAAATGATTGATTAATTCGTATTTATTATTAAAATGGCATTTATTATTATTATTAAATTTATTCATTCCTTATTTTATTATGAACAACTTTTATTGATAATCCATTATGAATTGGAGGTACAAAATTAGTTTTTTAAAATTAGAAATTCTATTTTTTTTAAGAAGGTATTAAAATTTAATTTTGACTTTATTCCATTTCTTAATTATTATTAGATTATTGTGTTTTTAATTTAAATTTATTAGTAGGAGTAATATCAGCTGAAAGATCTTTTATTTATGATTAAGTGATATTCATTTATTAATGGAAACTCGAACTCTTCATTTGTCTCTTTTCTATCTTACTTTTAGGCATAGAAAAATAACGAATATTCTCATAATTATGATTATTAAATGAAGTTAATTAAGGTTATTACAATTTTTTAATAAAACTAATTTCCTTTTTAATAGAAACCTTCTTTTCAAACCTCTTCTTTTATTTGATTTATTTTTATATAATCATACCATTTTCAGGATCTGAATCACTTTAATCTTCTGTATTATAAAGATCTTGATTATGATATTATTGTCGATTCTTTTCTAATTCATTTGCTATCTATTATTTTAAAGTAATATTTGTATAATAAAGTACTAAACTTTTATATAGATCCTACCCTATTTATAAGAGATCTTATTAAGTGAATTATTTGATTTAATAAAATTCATTATATCCAAAAAAACTAGTTTCTAAAGTAAATATATCATGTATTTCATTTGGAAAATATTTCTTAACTAATTTAAAAACAAATGCTCTAGCAGTTTTCATCTTGCATGGTTCAAGGGAGAATGTACAGGAATTAAAATCAAAGAATTTACTTGTTGTTTTGAATAAATATGGTAATATTCTACATTATACTGCATCTTAATCTCCTCTACAAGCATACATAAATGAATTTAATCTAAATTGAATTATTATTAATTATACTTTTTTGAATGTCCATGTAAATCTATAAAGCAAACTATATTTCTTGTTTGAATGATATTTTTCAATAGATTTTTAGTTTCAATTATTTAAAAATGTAATTATGGATTTGGTTTATGCCATTATCTATTTAAATCTTTACCACTTAAATCACATCTAAAATTTCCACAATCTACTCCATCTGGATTAAAGAGTGGAATAATAATAAAGTGAAATTTTTGAGTTAATATCTCATCTTTTTCAAGAGAACTCAAAAAACCTTAACAAACAAATGATGATACTGTTTCTCCAGGATGTTAACGAGCAATTATAACTATAACATCATTATTTGGTGATCCATATCTAAGAATTGGAACATTTAAACCTGAAAGTGAAGTAGTAAGGATTTAATAATCATTTTTAAGGAAAGTATATAGATCTGTATTTGTATAAGGATAATTAAGAGACAATTTGAACTTTCTATATTTTGATGGTATGATGATTGTTAGTTAATATAATTTACACATATGTGTGGGATACTAAAATTGATTAACAATTTTACTTTTAATTTATAGTATTATGAAGATTTTAATTTAACATTAGTTTCCAAAACTTCCCATTTAGATCCATCCTTTATCATGACAGATAAGCCATATTTTAATGATTTATATTCTTTAATCTATATAAGTTTATAAGTATTTACTAAATTGATAATATGAAAAGTGAGAACTTGGCCTTAAAGGTTATTGACTTCAAAATAGAACCATTATGAATAACCAATTGTATTTGTATCATCTTATAAAATTAAATTAAATTCATTGTCTTTTATCTCATAAGCAGCATAAAGATTGGCTGATTCAAAATTAGAATTGAACATTCCATTATTTATGATAGGTTAAGATTTAATTATTTTATGATCATCTAATAGTAATCCATTGAAATGGTATTTGAAATTATATGAGGTAGTTTACTTATGTTTTAAATAGACACATTTGTATTCAATATTATGTAAGGGTATTTAGATGTTGATGGATGTGTCAATAAAGAGGTCTTTGGGTAGTTTTAATTAATAATTATTTTAATCTGATTCTTCAGAAATAAATCCCTCATCATCGTTCATATTTATTTAATTTTAATTACCCGTTTTTATAAATTATTATTAAATAATGAAAGTGACAATCACCCTTGTATTGTTATTAGCATTAGCTTCAGCCACATCCACTTAAGATTAAATTCTTGCACTCCTTTAAACAGGAACAAAAGCAAGTGATGCTATTGACACTGTCTTTGGTTTATTGAATGATTTAATTCAATCAAATAAAGATGCTCAATTTGCAGCAGATTAAAAGAATGAAACAGATGAATGGATTGGCGCATAGTAATTATGTTTAATAATTATAGAACAATAGAGTAATTTACAAAAATTAAGACTTTGAATCAAAAATTATTCCAATAATCAATTGAGAACAGAGCTCAATTTGAATAAGATCTCCATGATACAAAGAATTATCTTGCATGGAATGAATAAAGATAAGATGAAATTAATAGAAAAATCTAAGTTCTACTTGATGAATAATGTCTTAGCAATCAACTCTTTGTTAGATCAATCAAATAAAATAGAGAAGCTCTTGAAGTTGTCAGAGTACTCAAATAAGATGTTGCTGGATATATTGTCAATGGAGACTCCTTTGAATTAGTTTAAGTTCAAAGTGTTGCTGAAAAATTAAAGCAATACAGCAATACATTCTAAGAATAAGAATTATAATCATTCCTCTAATTAGCCAATAAATAAGAAGATGGTTCAGTAAGCAGAGGAGCAACATTAGCTGAAAGAGTTTTAGCTGTTTTGGAATCACTTGAAGCCAATCTTTAAGCCTCACTTGAAGCTCTTGAAGTTAATGAAATCAATGCCTCATGGGAATTAGCTGGTTGGGTATCATTGAGTGAAGCTGAAGTAGAAAATCTCAAAGTTGAATATGAAAGAAAATAAGTTTATGCTGATAGATTGGCTACTGTAATATTAATTTAATATTTAGTAAATTTAAGCTGCCTTAGCACAATAAGCAAAATCAAAGATTATTCTTTAAGAATCATAAGATGCTTTAGATTAAGCTTAATCAGACTTGGAAAACAAGAGAGCTGATTATGCTGAAGCCAAGGCTAAAAGAGATGAAGAGAATGCCATTCTTGCAGAAGTCATCATTATGTTCAAGAAATAAGTAGCTTCATGGTCTGGAAGATGAGATTCATCATTTTATATTCAATATAAATATGAATTCATTTATTCAATGTTTCATACAACAGGCAATCAAAATGTCAATATCTGAGACATATGCTTAGAAGATTCCAAACATATTTGAAATCAATACTCTATTGATGATAACTTTCATATTGTTATTTGTCTGGAAAATAATTACATTGAAAACTAAAACATTTGCAAATCCACTCAAGATCTTAGGTATAGCTACTTTGAAACTAATACACTATGTTTCATCATTATATAGTCTAATCATGTTTTCATTTTTGATGTAACAATCTCTTATATAATAAGTTCATACGTGGCAGATTAATTGCCTTTTAGGAATCTTAACAAATTCAAAGTGATAAAAATCTTCTTTGTAATTATCATCTTCTTTTGGGGAACAGACATAAATCTATTTTCACTTACTATAGTAACTCTAATAGAAAAAACTACTAAAAAAGTCATTTAATCACATTAAATACAGAAAGAAGATGAGATTTCAACTATTTTATCATATATATTAGCTTTAGGTATAATTCTAACAGTATCTATTTATGAAGTATTGTTATTGTAAATCATTAGATATTTATTTCAGAAGAATAGGAAGGATTTAATATAATGGAATTCCCTATATTCAATTTGTTAATGATAGGTTTATTCTTTTTGGGTTTACAGAAAATAACCTACAATATCACAAAAGACTAACACAACAAATTTATAGGTGTAATAATGTGTCTTTTATTTTTGATTTATGAATTGAAAGATAAAATATTTGATCCTTTCAATCATTAAGTGATGTGGGTAAGTCTTTTAATTTTAGCTACTATAAACATCTTTGAGAATACTGAAGAAGATTAATAATTGATATTGAGTAATAATCGAATAGTTGGAGATGATGAAATTTCATTTCAAGCATTTATTAATCATTTATCAAATAATTCAGATTCAAAAAAGTTAATGATATAATTATCTCTTAATTTTTCATTTATGTTTGTAGAATTAATTTATGGTTGGATTAGTAATAGTTTAGGATTGATCACAGATTCATTACATATGCTAATTGATTCAAGTGCATTAGCAATAGCATTATTTGCTAGTTTTATGGCCAAAAGAAAAGCAAATTCAACATATACATTTGGTTATGAAAGAGTAGAAATATTATCTGGATATGCAAATGGTGTATTTTTATTATTTGCAGTTGTTGAGATAATATCTGAATCTTTTGAAAGAGTAATTACTCCTTAAGAAGTTCTTCCTGAAAAGATGTTGGTTGTATCATTCTTAGGGTTACTAGTTAATGTAATTGGATTATTTTTCTTTCATAATCATGGACATATTCATTCAGAAGAAGTAGATGAATAATTGGAAGAAAAACATCATCATCATTGTTCTCATCATCATGATCATAATCATAATTTATCTGGTGTATATTTACATATTCTAGCTGATGCTTTAGGAAGTGTTGCATGTATCATATCTGCATTGCTTATATATTACTATTAGTTTCATATGGCTGACCCTATAGCTTCAATCATTATTTCATTACTCATTCTTACCACAACAATTACATTACTTAAAGATACAAGTAAAATATTATTGATGCATGTACCATTTTCCGGTAAAAAAGTGTTAGCTGCTATTTCTCATGATGTAATTAGAATTATAATTTATTTTTAGTTTAATCATAGAGGATTTGAACCTTAAGAAATGAAATTATGGTAATACAAAGAAAAAAAATTAGTTTTTACAGCAAGATTTCAAATAAAATAAGAAGATGAAGCTTAAATCAAATAAGAAATAGATAATATAGTTTCAAAGCATAAAGAAGTTGTAATTAATGCAATTGATTTTGATTATGTTGACTGAATTAATTCTGTGTTAATTTGCAATTCATATAATTATATTTAAATGGAAGACCAATTTTCTGAAGATTATCACCTCTCTCTTCAGTAAGGTTCTATTTTCTCTATCATTAAGCTTCTGCTAGACTCTCCGATAGATATTAAGATAAATTTAAGCCTCATTCAATTTTACTAGATTATAATCCTGTGCCTAATAAAAATACAGATTAATCTTAAATTTAAGTTTGGGAATCAGTTTCTGATACTCCATTTAAAGAATCTATTTAATAGCCATCTATTAATGGTATCAATATGAAAAATTCTTTAGTTTTACAAGTAACTAATATTTTGTTATTAGAATCGAACAATGACTCATATACCAACAGTTAAAAGAATTAAATAAATTATAAGTAGGAACAAACTCATATTGGAAGTCAAAGATAAACTTATGAGGATAGGTTATATTTATCCTAAAAATAAAAAAACCCATCTGATTAATTTTCTTAAAGAAACCTATCTGGGAGACTTAAATAAAGATTAAATAAGAAAATAAATTTTTTTTGAACCTATTAAAATTAAACTTCCAACCTTTAGTCCAACCAGCAAATTTATCCTAATTTGGCAAATTTTTAGAATTATTTAAATAATGTTTTTATTATGGTGGGTTCCATTCAAAATAGCATTTACTCCTGAGGGTTCTACTGATATAAAAAATATTGAATAATCCTTAGTTTACTTTATGATTTTTGACTTAATAATTAAATTAAATGTTGGCATTATTGATCAAGGCTAAATTATGAAGGATCGCCTTTTCATCCTACTCTATTATATAAAATATGAATTGTACGAAGATATCATCTATTTGATTACTTTGATTATCATTATAAGAGAATAGCCAATTGACACTTATTTAATAAAAGAAATAATAGTTTTAACATAATTTATTCTTAATTTCTTTAAATTAAAAAAGAAAATAAAAACTTATGAAGAGACTCTTACAACATAATCTACTTTAATTGAATTAGCTAATTTATCCTAATTAATTATTGTAATATTCTATTTTGCTCATTTTATGGCATGTGTATGGTATTATGTGGGAATAAAAAGTTTAGATTAATTCAATGAATCTTGGATAATCAAATATAAATTAATTGATGCTCCAATATCTTATTGTTATGGATATTCATTTTATTGGGCTACTGCTACAATGGTTACAGTAGGATATGGAGATGTTACTGGATAAAATATTTATGAAGTTCTTTGTTCTATTATATTAATGTTTCTAGCTAGTGGAATATTTGCATTTTCAATAAATTCTATTGGTTAGATATTTAGTAACATTGACAATTAATAATAAGTATATAAAAGAACACTTTTACTAATTAACCATTACATGTAATTTAATGAAGTTTAAATATCATTATAAAGTAGAATAAGAAATTATATTAAATATTTTTTTGAATAAGAAAATAAGGGTAGTAAAAATGAAATTGATTTAGTTTTAAATCAATTATCAAATAATTTGAGATAAGAACTTTTATAGGATGTATAATTAAGAGTTTTGAAATAAGCAGACTTTTTTAAAAAGAATTTTTCTCAATCAACAATTAGATTAATTGCTGATCATGTTAAATTTTAATAATGTACACCTAAAGAGTTAATTTATAAATAATAAAATAATGATGATAAATCAATTTATATTATTTAGAAAGGTGAAATATAATTAATTGATGATAACTCAGGAAAGATTCTTAAAATATTTACTAAAGGTTAAACCTTTGGAGAATTAGAATTTTTATCATTTTAAGCTAGATTTTGTAGTGCATATAGTGTTACATTTAGTTAAATCTATAAAATTGCAAGAGAAGATTTTCTTAATTTAATAAAAGATAATCCTATGGATTATTAAAAATTTTAATAAATGAAAGATTAAATTTAATTAAAATATCATAATGAATAATTTAAATGTTATGCATGTGATGAAAACCACCTTATTTGGGATTGTCACTTTTTATTTTATAAGCCTAATATTGAAGTTATGATTAAGAAATCTTTATTTAACACTGAATAAACAAGATCAAATTTTAAAAGATCTGATAAAAGATATTTAAATATCTTACACAAAAGTCTAGATAATGAAGATTCCATAGAATAAACATAAAAGATAGGTTCAGTTCCTTCTGATACTTCATCTGAGATTTCCTCATAAGATAGTAAAGTACCAGAAATAGAATAAGCAAAAGTTCGAGATTCCCTTTCAAAATTAGGATAATAACATTAATCAAGAAAAAGTTCGGCACATAGTAAATCAGGATAAGGAATAGTTGAAGAATTTAATTTTCATTTAAATAAAAGATAATCTAATCGTTAAAGTGTTAGATAAACAGAAATTGATACTCCTTTAACATAGAAAAGAAAATCAATTTAATAAGTATTTTCATAGGATGCTAAAAATTCATTATCTGCTCCTTAATTGGCTCCAATTAAAGAAGAAACCAGAAAGGAAAATAAAGATTATAATTAAAATCTTAAAAGTTTTCATTAATTAGATGAATTAATTGATAACAAATACTATTATGATGATGAAATTGATTCAGTATTTTCATTTTAATATTACTTTCCACATAATAACATTGAAAATGTTTTATAGGAGTACTAAAGATTTTAAAAGTAATTCAGATAAAAAAAAATCAAAGTTGTAAAAAGTAAATATATGTTCCACAAAATTACCAAAGCTACTAAACAAAAATAAAATAAGCATAAGAAAGATTAACCATCAGCAAATTCCTTAATAATAAGAGAAAATGTATGAATTCAATCAATTTTTTAATCCTTAGACTTATAAAAGACTTTCTAAAAATGATTAAAAATCGTTATTTCTTTGCACTTTATTGAAAAACTCTTAAGTTATTTCTTTTTTATCTCTTTTCTTAATTTTATCAATGAAAAATGAATCAATCATTTCTAAAACTGTTTTATTTGTTCGAACATCTTATACAAATGATAATAAAAACTAATTTTCTAATTCATCCTTTTATATTTCTTCATCCTCATTCAAATCAAGTAGATCAAAAAATAATAAGACTTTTTATTCCAATTAACCAATTTAAAGAGTACTACAATTTTTAAGAAATAACTATATTTCTGCTAAATTCTTTTTCTTCCTAAATAAACAAAAAGCTATTCTATTCAAAAAGATTTTATCCTCAATTCTTAATGTAGAATCGTCTATTAATATTATTTCTTTAATAGGAACAATCTTTTCTACATCAATTTTAAAATCTCTAAATTCTAATCCAGGACCTCTTAAATAATAATCTCCAAATTAATTATATAATTCATTTAATTTTGGTTATCCATTTTATAATTAAAGTGGAATAAAAAAGTATTCAATTTTTTTCCAACATCTTTTTGGTTCTGAAACTTTAATTTATGATTTCAACTATTTAGATAATTCATTAGGTATCATCCTCTAACTAGGTTTATCAATAACTACATTTAATTCAATTTATTCTAATATTTCATTTTTCTTTCTCATTAAATTTACATTATGTTAAGTTTATTATGTAATTGTGTGTAATTTTTAATAACATGCAGCACAAAATTGTTCAGTACACTCAATACATTCTAATATAGTTGGATTTTTGCCACATTCTTAACAAATAGATAAGTTTTAAAAATTTGCTTAAAGAAATTAAAGCATTCTTTTTACTATTAAAGCATTATCAATTTAATAATATCTAATTTTCATAACACTTTAAACTATCATATCATATTCTGTTTAAATTATTTTATCTAACTTTTTATATTTTGAAATGCTAAAGAAATAAGATTCTAATTTAGCTATTTCTGTATCCAATTATTTAAGTTTAATTTCAGTTGATTATTCTATTTCTCCTTATTCTTTTTTTAACTTTTTATTCTCATCCCTAATAAAAATTATATATAAAAGAATTACTTTAATTCTTTATAGTGTCTATCTAAATCTTTTAATTTAATCTAAGTTTTCTATTATTGTTCTACAAGTTCTCTATGATTTATTTTATCAATCTCTTCAATAACCCAGTCAGGTCTATCTGGTATTAATTCTCTAACTAATATTTTAATAAGAGATATTGCAATAACACAACTCATAAAATACCATAATTCTAAATCATTTTCAATAACATAATCTACTTAATCAGTAAACATCCTTAAAGTAGCATATCTATGCTTAAAATAAAGTAGAACAAAATTTGTAAATACTCCTGTAGCACTTAAAAATTCCAATACATTTAACCATTATCCAATACCAGGAACTCTTTCAGATTTTATTCTTTTTGTCATGTAAATTAATTTATATAATTTTACTTGTATGTCAATAGTGTTCATTACAATACCTACAAATGGCCCTATTGGAAATGCTGCAGAAAACAAGATAAAATAACCATAATCTGTTATGGCTTCCATAAAATAGTCAAGAGTTCCCTCAAAATCATCTTTCAAAGAATTTAATTCTATTGCATCTACATCTATTTTAGTTTCAAAAGGCATATATTTAAATTTAGGATTTTTAGTTTCTTCTAAAATCTTTTCCTCTAATACTTCTTCACTCTCTATTTTTAAAACAGGTCTAGCTGCTGATTCTAATAAATCTACATCTATATTATCCTGAATATCTAATTTGTAATTTTTTTTAAATTCATCATAATCCCAAAATTATTCAATTTCATCTAAGTATTATAAATGTTATTTATTAGCTAATCTGATTTTCTTTTATTTTATAGTTATTTCCTTTACTTTTTAAAAGTAATTTCTTATTCTTCCTCTCAATAATAGAACAGGTATTAGAAAATTAACTACAATATAATATGCTTTTTTAACTAAAACTAATGGAATTATAAAATAAAAGATATCTTCAAGATTATATTTATTTGGAGTAACAATAATGTACATTAAAGGCATATATGAATTTATAAACCTAAAAAATACATTTTTGTAAATTAATGACTTTTAATAACTTAATTCAAATTTATGATTTTCCTGATCTGCATACCATTTAGAAAAGTAAAGAAACAAAATGTTTAAAATTTATATAGCAACAGCTTATAATGCTCCAAGTAAAAAAATAAATCCTTTATAAATTATTAGTTCTTATTTTAGTAAATCAATACCATAAACAATAGCAAGACTGCAAAATAAAAAGACTGCTAATAAGAAAATGAAAAGAATAAAGTAAATAGCCATTTTTGTTATTTATTAATGTTTTGTCAATTTTCTTGAAATAAAATTAATTTCTTCATCTCCTGAAAATTTATCTTTCAAAGGTCCTTCATAATATGAGGATTCAGTTTATAGCATTTAATCTATGCAACCCCATCTTGTATTGATTTCAGAAGTTTTCCTTTTCCATAATTCAATTTAAACAGTAGACCATATTGTAACTAATAATACCCAATATGGTATTAAATCAGAATGAAAATCATATAATATTGCATATAATTAAAGTGCTAATCCTGGAATGCCTATAATTAGTTAAACACAAGACAAGTAACTTATCCATGCAAAATAAAATGAAATCTATTCCCCAAAATATAATCTCATTGTTGTTAAAGATGTAAAATTTCTTCCTCTACCTTCATTAAGATAATCTTTAATCTGACTTATTGGTTAAGGTATAAAACCAAAAGATAATTTTTACCATTATCTTTTAATAATTTAAATTCCTCCTGATGTATGCATAGCATAACAAGATTCAACAAGTTTTGATTTAAGTAAAGATTCCAAATTTATAGATTTAATCAAATGATCATATACAATCTTTTACCTTTAACTAGATCTAAAAGGTTCAAATTTATTCCTTTATTCTGATTTAAACTATTCTAAATCATAAGAATCAATTAATTTAATTTACATTTCCATTTCTTCTGCTAATCTTTCCAATTTCTCTTCTTTCAATCTTAACATAATGTAAACTTATTATTAAGATATAAATGACTACATCATATATATTTCAAATTCAGCTTTTTATAATAAATCTAATTAAAAATTAATTTATTAATCTATAATTCTTTTTTATTCTTCAATTTCTTACAAATTATGACTTTTAAAAATATCAATTAAATTAGTTTTTACTGAATGATCAAATTTTAATACAATATCAGGTACAAATAATTAACTTGAAAATAATATTAATTGTTCTAAATAATCAAATGAATTATTCTTTTAATTCTATTAAAAAGAATTAGATATATCTAATGGAATTATTTAATTTTTATTTTTCTTAGGTTTTGGAGTTTTATGTAAAAAATTTTTATTTTCTCTTTACACTGAAGATTTTAAAAAATCTGGACTCTTTTCTAACTCATTCTCATGAAATAAAGACAAAGTTTTTTATTCTTTTATTGACTTTTAGGCTTGAATTTGCTTCTTTGATTTAAGTTATGATTTATAAAACTTTGATTTTGCTACTATATTTTCCATTAAATTATATTGAACTTCAAAACTTACTTTTTATTTCTCTCTTTTATATTTATGCTTTTCAAATATATCCCCTATTGATTAATGAACCAAATTTTAATTTTGAGCATATTTCTTTTTTTTAATTAAACCATCATAATAAATTTATGTAGCAGTATCTTTTGTTAATTATCTAGCTCTAAAAAATTCATTATTTTCTGCTTCAGGATCTGCATATTTATTTAATAAAAATTTAATTATTTTTTATTCACCATTTAAAGATGCTAAATGTAAAGCAGTATTTCCATGATTATCTTTTACATCAATTTATAAAACATTTTTACAAAATAATTCCTTTGTTTTATCGTAATATTATTTATCATTCTTTAATTCATTTTATTACATGAATCTCATAATTAATTTGCCTAATTCATCCTTATATTTTAGATCTTATATTTGATATCTTTCAAGCTCATGATAATATCTTTCTTTATAAATTGATGAATCTCTATTTTCTAATATATGAGTTATTCCTGGTAATTCTTATCTGCATATCTATTCTAAATAGCTAATTAAAGATTTTGAATAATAATTTTCTCTGTCTCTAAATTTTTTATTTGGTTTCTTCTTTTTATTTGAATCAGGTCCCCTCATTGATAGATCTAATATTTCAAATTTTATAATTATTTTTAAGGCTTCATAATTATTCTTAGAACAACAAGCATGTAAACACGTTTAACCTTCTAATGATTTAATAGGAAACATAATATAAATTCTAGGTAAATTTATTAAAATATGTTTAATATGGTGATTTATTTTATAAAGGCAACACCAATATAGAATTTTTGTAAATAATAAAGGGTTTTACAATTCAGCTTCATATTAATGACATATTTCTTGAAATTATATATATTCAATTTCATTCTTTCCTTTTAATTCATTAATCCAAAATTATTAACATTCAGTTAGAAATGCCACAATTTAATCTATTATTAATTATAATACTCTTTAATGCCCATTTTTTCCTGCTAAATCCATAGGATAGAGTCCATTATTATCACACAAAAAGCTATAAGCTTTCTTTTTTAAAAGGAATTAAACACTAACTTAATCCCCATAGAATGCACACCAATGTAATGGAGCCCATCTACTATGAGGATTGATACAATTTACATCTGAACCATTTTCTATTAAAATCCTTAAACATTCCTATCTATTATTTTACAATTTAGGATCATTTAAAAAACAACAAATTTATATAGGTGAACATCCAAACATATCTTTTTATTGAACATATTTTTTAATTTATTCTTAAATTTCTAATCCATCATTATCATCAAAATCAAAATCTATCTCAATTATTTCCTCATCATCTTCCATTTTTTAAGCAATAACTTTCTTTTATTATTAATACTTAAACTTCTTTTTATTATCCTTAAGTAATATTTTATAATCTTCAATTAAAATTTCCAAAACTTTATTATCTTGTCTTAATGCAGTTTAATGTAAGATATTTCCTATTATTTAATCATAATAATAAATACTTTTATCTTAATCTTCAACTGTAAAATCACTCTCAAATCTTTAATTTTGATTAGACCCTACATTTTTTATAAAATTCTCTTCAATAATCATATCTTGTTATTCTTCTATTTCATCCTTTGATTACTAATCTGATTTTATTGATGGTGAATTCAAATTATTATTCAAAACTTTTGGGGAGTTGAATTAAGTCCAACTTGAGATTTATTTTTTAAACATTATAAATAATTTGTAAAAATGTAACTATTTATTAAGGAAAAAAAAACTAACAATTTAACTATATTCATTTGTTAATTATTTCCACCTTAATCCTTGAAACTTCATAAAACTTGACAGTATTAAATTTTCTTCTTGCTGCTTACAATGAATTAAATTCTGCAGCCTATAATAATGAACATAATTCTTTAGCACAAGGTTTTAATGTAGCTTCATTTTAATTTCTATAATTTGGAGATCTAACTATAAACTTAATTAATACCTTATTTTATTAACCAAAAATATAACAGCTTAAGCTATTAAGGATGGTTTATACACTACAAATTTGTATTCAACCAAAGCAAGTTCTAAAATATATTAAGCTAAAGCTTTATTTTTGGGATCTAATTCAGATGAAAATCTTGATAAAAATTAGTAAGCAGTTGGATTACAAATGTTGAAATTCAAAGCTTACAATATTAAACCTTCCATTTCTAATACATCACTTTTTACATAGGCATTATCTGTTATGTACACAAAATCTTTTAATGCAGGTGGATATATTTCCTCATATTTACATGCTATGAAGAGTGCAGCTACACCTACTAATTGTAAACGCAATCTTGTCACTTATTCCTTTGCTAAATATCTATCTATTAAAGAAATTGTAAGATATAATGTTTCATCTCTTAACTTAAATTTAGCATGCACATCAATAAGCCAATCTACAAGAATTGCTCTCATTTTCATATTTATATTTGGCTACAACTCAGGTGTCATATATTAATCTATCTAATATTTATTCTAAATAAATTAGTAATATATTAAATACCTCTTCAATTAATAAATGTTGGAAAATTTCATCTGTGTATAAATGTACATTTTGTGGAATTTTAGTTTCTTTTGGCTTTTCATTCTCTAATTCTATTTGAATTCTTTCAGATTCTCTTCTAAATATTTTATTTTCTTTCTCATCCAAACTAATAGCAAATACTCTAGGAATGATGGAAAATGGTTTTTTTGTTTTTTCAACGATCATCCCTGTTTCCATTGATTGATAGATAGATGAATTAACAATTTCTTTTCCAAAACACCTTTGATTTTCGATGATCATTCTGTTAATATTAAATAAAATTATTATTATCGTTAAAAACTTAATATATATAATTAAAAATATATTGATTAAATATATTCTTATTTGAATATTTTCATACCTTAAAAAACAATGATGTTTGTTATTTTTTATTTGTGTTCATAATAAGAAATTTCAACAAAAAGATAAAATTACTATAACTTTTTTGTTCAAATATTTTAATTTGGAATATGTAATTATTAAATTTATGTTGTTTTAATAAATATGGATGGATTTAAAAGAATCTATGAATACTTCCTATTACACCAGTTTTATTTATCTCTCTATTGGAGCTATATTAAATACTTCTCCGCTTTTGGAAATGTATTACCTATTTCTTAAATAGATATCTAAAAATTTCTGATAAGAACAACTATTAACAAAATTAGCTTTACTTAATATTGGACTCCTTAAATGTTGGCAAGTATTTATTAAAATCCTCAATACTACATTCAATTTATATTTTAATTATATTTGCTTTTAATATATTTATTGTCATTTTGTTTATCATCTTGTATTACATAAAGAAAAAAAATGCTAAAACTAATGTTGCATTTACTATTTATGGCTAAGTAATTTATGAAAAATAATTATATAGATAATTGAATATTTCATATAACCTTATTTTTGGTCAATTAATGGATTTTTATTATAAATCTAAAATACTTATTTGGAATAAATACAAAATTTAGCTTTTATTATTCTTGATTGTATTGCAATCCTTTTGTAACTATTATTTTTAATAATCCTTATACTTTTTCTGCATTATGATCATTCATAAAAAAAAAACTTTTTAAAAATAAATTCCCCAAAAACTTTACTATTTTATATAATAACTATCTATTTTAGTAGCTGTTTAGAGTTGTTTATAAATTCTAGCAGTAAATTGAGTGTAATTATCAATTTTATTAAAAGATAGCATTTCCTATAGTATTGGCTTTCTTATTTTTAATACTTTTTACATAAATGCATTAGGATTTACCTGTTTTCTCAAATAAATATTTAAACAATTATTTTTAGATTATAATTAGTATATAATTTGCGCTTGCTTTAAATTTGTTAATATCATACTTTATCAACTTATTTGAGGATCGTTATTGTATGTAAGTTCTATTAACCTTTATACTTTTGATTAAATTAAATTCAAAAATAAGATAATATCTAATATTAAGTTCAATCACTAATTATAGTATTACAAAAATGATAGATTAAAGAACAATAGTATATTTGAAATAAGATCCATAAAATATATTTTTATTAAGAGGCATTATACATCTTCATTAATCTTTGTGTGTAAATATAAATTGCTTTTATCGTTTAAAAACTATATATAAGATAAGTTCAAAAGGAAATAAAAAAATATATATTAATAGAGATGCAATCTATGAAAATATTGGTAGAATTTCTACTTTTTTCTTAAAATGTACATATGAAAATGCATAAATTAAAACATAGGATTAAAATATTAAGATTCTTTTAATTGAGTTATTGTGTTATAAATTAAAATTGTATTCTGAAAGTTTGATATAAATTGATAAATTAAATTAAGATAAATTAAATTTACTTTAACGAATAAATGTAATAAACATTAGATTGATAATTTCTAGACTAATAAAATAAAAGAATGAATAATCATATAAATCTAAGTTACCATTTGATTAATTATTATTATGTGAATCATATATTAAAGAAACAGTAGAAATTATGATGAATATTTTTGGATGTTAATTATAGTTTTGGAATTACTTATTAAATGAAAAAATTAAATTAGTTGATGAATTATCTCTTTTAAATTAAATAAGTTAATTAATAAAAAAGTTTTAAAGATTAGAGAAATTAATATTAAGTTTACATTATAATCACAAAGTTCCAATTAGAAATAAATAATGGTTTAATTACTTTTTCTTTAAATTATTTATTTTAAATAAAAAGTTAAAATTACAAGAATTAGAATTATTACCTGATTATTAAATTAATTTAGAATAAATTTTAAAAGATGATTAGATAGATGAAAAATCATCTGATGAGGAACCAATTAATTATTATTAATAAAAGTTTTTAATCTCTGGCAATACTTTTGTAATTTAAATTAATTAAGCTGGTATTATTAAGAATTGTACAAATAATACATTTTCAATATTAAATTACACTAGATAAGCTTTAGTAAATAGTTCTGCTTCTATTTTAATGCCACAAATGTTTAAATAGAATCACTCTTAATACATAAATCATTTTTAATAAACTGGACAATCTTTTAATTTATACAAAAGAAAGAAAGCATTCTGTATGCATGATTCAGGTCATATTGTAATTGTCTATAAGTATTTGAAATATATTTATAATTATATTTCAAATTAAATTGAATATATAGCCATGTTTAGATAAATTTAAACTAAATAAGAATATTTATTATTAAATGAAGATTGGGAAGTAGACTCTTGTACTTAATTATTATAAGATATAATAGGAATAAAGTCATTAAGTTTATTTATATTGGCTCCTAAAACTATTGTTTATTCTTAATATGAGAAATTTTTGACTAAAGAGAATAAAGAATTTTTTAGTTTAAATGCTCCAAATTTAGAAAAGAATTTATCTCGTCTATTTTATACATAACATTCTTCTCCTATGGTTAGAGGTTCTTTAACTTCAAGCAATGGATAGATATCTATATTATAAAATTAAGTGGAAATGAAAAAGAGCTTTCAAAATTTTTTAAATTAAGATGATGTTATTAATATTGAGGATCAACAAAAGTCAAAAGTAAAATAAGTTTTGTTCAATTTAAGAGTTCCTAAATAAAAGTATGAATTAGTTTAAGAATTTTAATAAAAATTATCTGAATCTTATAAGTAAGCAATATATTCAGAACCTTTTCGAAAAAAATTAATAGTAAAAAATGAATCTGGAAAATTTAAAATAGTAAGAAGTGAATTTATAAGGAGATGTAAAGTTTATTAAGAAATTATTAGGAAAGAGAAATTTCAAATAATAAGTATGTTAATTATATTAAAAATAGAGGAACTTTTTTTAAAGTATACATAATCTGAAGATTGTGTTGATAAGATATTAAGAATAGAGGGGACATTAAAATTAGAAAAGACTTCATAATCTAATAAATATATTTTAATTAAAATAGTAAGAACTGAATTGATTGAAGAAAATCCTTTACCTTAAAGATAGAATAGTTGTTTTACTTTATCATTTTAAGCACCTTAAATGATATCTTCGGTATAGTATTGAATCTATCTTAAGTAGCCAACTAAAAGAACATCTGTTACACAATAAAGTCCTAGAAATTTATGTATTACAGTTAATGGTATTTTTTTTGGTAATAAATAGGAGATTAATTTGATTTATATTCAAATAGAGAGTCTATGGGAAAGGTATTATTACAAGAAATTTAAGTTAATTAAGATTTTGATTAAAATGATCAGTATAAAAATATCAATTTTATCACTTGTAATAGTGATTTTTTAAAGGAGGATACAAATAAAATAGAAAAAGATAATCCATCTATTGTTTAATATGAATATATTAGTAGATTCATATTTATTTTGCAAATTTTGATAGTATTTTTAAGTTTCTTTATGACTTCATTTATTTACAACACAAGTACATTAGAAGAATCAGTAATTAATAATTAATATATATTTAGATAATCTTAGTTGATTATCTTTTTCATTATTAAATAATAGTAGCAGAATCTTATAATGCTTAAATAGATGTAGAATTGTTTAATAGAAATTACACTTATTCAGATTTAACAAAGGGAGATTTGATTGGATATTAATCAAAAGAGGAATTTTATGAATTTAATTAAAAGATAACTTAAAAATGTGGTGATTACATGTATTATGTTTTTTGGGAACCAAATTTTTTGAAAATGTTATATGAGAATTTTCATAGTAACTCTAATGAAAGTGGATTAGATATTCAAACAGTTTATTAAGCTAATATTTATCTATTAAATATGCTTTCATCTTCAGAGTTTAAAGAGGATTTTGGAATTGCAGAAACATTTCGTTAGTATATGGTATATAATAAATATTATAAGTTAGTTACCATAATTTTAATAAGTTTAAGCAAGTTCAATTAATCATTTATTAAATTAAGGTTTAGGATTCTAAGAAATTTCTAATTCAAATTTCATACTATTTCTAATATTATAGACTATACTATAATTAGCAAGTTTATTATATTTAATAAGATTCCAATTTTAAATATAGAAATAATATAATGTATAAATTTATTTCATTTTTTCAAGGTCTTATTTAGAGTTTAGGCTATAATACCATTTAAAGAGAAGATTGCTATCATCAACAAAATCAACACAACCATAAATTAGTTTTGTTATGTAACAAATTATGAATGTAAATTATTATATTTAGTATTTTTAAAGATGGAAACATATAATAATTTATATCTATGAATAAAAATAGCCCTTTGAGTAAAGCAATATCTAAAAGAGAAAGTACTAGTAAAACAATTTTTGATAAAAAGATATTGGATACAGAAAAATATATTGAATAAATAGAGAATAAGACAAAAATCAAGTTTGAATAGGTATCACTTCTATTCAGTTTAAAAGTAATGTGATTTTTAATATTACTAGAAAATAGTTGTCAAAATAATAGTGAATCTATTGTTAATAGCATTAATAAGTATTGCTGGAGTAGTTACAATTTATTTTACAATTAATAATATAGAATTGTTTAATAAGAATTAATTTATGTTTAATAGTTAAAATGCTTGGATATTACCAGCTTTAAAAGAAATTTATACTAGTTAATAATATAAAGAATATTCTTTTAATGATACAAATGCTTTTATAATACTTCAAGCTTATTTTAATTAAATATCATCTGAATTTCCAGTATATTATCAATCTGATATTGATTAAATAATCTATTTTTTTGATAATAATATTTGTGATGGGGACAGTATTAATTTAATATATCCTCTTAAGCTTAAATAGATATTGATTAATGTGCTCTTAGTATTAATGGAGGATTAACTAGAGGAATCAGAGAATATGATTATTTACTTTCTTAGGTAGCACTTAAATTGTTAATCCCAAATGATGAAAGATATGAAAATATTACATATTCAACTATATATGAATTTAATAAGGTATTAGTATTATTATAATTTAGCTATATTATTTTGTTTTTGATCATTACATTCTTGCAAAGGATATATGGGTTTAAGTCTCGAAAACAACTTTAGAAAAACATGATTAAGTAAGCTTAATTTTATTGTAAATTATAATAAAAAATATGATAGAATAACTGTTATAATGGGAATTTGTCTTTATTTTATAATATTTAATGAAATTGGATATGTATTGATTAAAAAGAAAGAGTACAAATTTATAAAAATGTTTTATAAATCATTCATGCCAAATGTCTCAATTAATTAGTAAAAACGATTAAGAGTTGAATTAATCAAAGCAAGATTCATAAGAAAATGATGTAAAAATTAAATAGATACTAAATAATATCATCGGTTATCATATTTTTTTAGTTTTAATCAAAATATTGATTAATGATTAATTAAATGTGTATTTATTGTATAATTTCTTCAGTTCATTTAAAGCTGATTATCCTTTATATTTATTATTTTAAATATTATTGTACATTTTAATAATATCTGTTGAATTATGTCCAGAATAATAATAACGATAATTTTACATTTGATCAATATTATTTTAATGGAATAACAAAGGGATACTCAATGACTCAAAATAAGATTCAAAATAAGATTCATCTGATTTTTATTTTAATACTTATGGTTATTATTATAATTCCATAAATGAATTTCTTTCTATTATTTAAATAGTATTCTATTTCAAATTTTTAGAATATTTTTAAAAAGAACCAGATAAAAATTATTTTGTATCCTATAATGATTATTGCTAAGACATTATTATTTTATTTTATGATTTTTATACTATATTTTCTTGAGTGTCTTGAACAATCAATTTTGTTTATGTTTAATCTTATTCACCAATTGTATCAATTTTTTCATTTTAAACATTTTATTCTTCAATAACTTATTAATATGTTTATATAGATTCGGCTACAATAGATTATGCTATTAAAGAATTACATTTCAATTATTTTCTAATCCATTATGATCTATTTTATTTTGAATTGTAAAATGACTTCTTTAATCTTTACTCTAAATCTGGTTTATATTATAACATGCCACAATCAATAATTTAATGATTATATTATCCACATAAATGGCATTATAAAAAGATTTTGAAGAAACTATTTTCGAATAATATAGAATCTTTTATATGATGAAATCTCTCAGCATCTTTTTAAAATTTAGTTAATTATTCTAATAAATTATCTCTACTTATTTTACAAATTTCTGAATAACCTTTTGATATAACACTTACTTTTGGAGGAAATCCAGTAAAAAATTAATATTCACCGAAACAATCACCTTTCTTCAATATTTACAAAGATTTTTTTGTTCTTTCCTCCTATAACTCTACACTACCTTCTATTAAAAAGTATCTAGTTTATTAATAAAATCTTACAAATTTTTTTCATTTTAATCATTTTATTTATATATACAATCTTCAGGAACAGCTTAAAATCTAATTAATTTTTTAGAAAGTTGTTTTAAACATTTTTTGCTAAAATTCTATTTTAAAAACATTATCTTATTTATCAAATTATTTTAAATGTTATTTAACATATCTGCTTTTAGACTTTAAGGAAAAGTTTAAAATAAAGATTCTAATTCTTCTGTATTTTCATTTTTATCATTTTAAATATTAAGTTACAAAAAGTTTTTCACTCTAGCTTATATTTATGGATTAACATTATTTTTCCTCATGTATGAACTCACTATTGCCATCTACTTTCGGTATTTAAATTTTGTATCATTCATATGCTTTACAAGTATTCCAATAGAATTCATCAGATATGCATAAACACAACTTGAAATTAATATCATAATGCTTGAAAAAATTATTTCTATTTAATTTTAAGGTGTAATATCGCCATAACCAATTGTTACCATTGTAACAGTTGCCCAATAGAATGAATAATTATATCTATGCCATATTGATTGATCAATTATATTATATTTTATTAACCATGTGTTTTCAAATAGATTATTGAGAGACCCTATATAATGCCAGATACTTGCCATAAAGTGAGCATAAAAGCAAATTAATATAATTAGTGTAATAAGATCAACTAAACTATTAACACCTCCTTTTAAATAAAGATATTCAATATATCCAAAATAATTTTTTGCCAACTTTTTTATTGTTACTAAACTAGATAATATACCTAAAATTTCATTAACAACATAAATTCTATAAAATTAAAGAAAATAAAGTATCCATATGCTTATCATCAATATATCATAAAATAATTATTATGTGACATATTATTTTATTATTGTCTTACGATCTTCTATAATTTCACCCTAAATTATTAGAGCTCTATTAAAGGAAATAAAAATTTCTAAAGCCAATCCTAATATAATTAATATAGATGTTTGAGCTATTTCATCATGATCTGGAATAAAACTAGTCAAAAATGGACTGAGCCATAAACTAAATAAATAAATAAGGATTATGTAGGTATCAAAAACTATTATCAAATTTGAACCTGGTTAGAATAAATACCCACTTATTTTTTAGCTCTTTTTATCTACCTAATTTTTAATTATACTGTACCTAATTCATTTTAAAATTAATTTTCTTATAAATAACATTCTGTTAATAAAAGATTTTTTTTACTATTTGGAAGCACATATGATTTTAAAAATAAATTTTAGGCAAATTTTTTAATGTATCTATTTTTAAGCAACAAACCTAAAAATTTCTTCATTTATGTTTCAGCTGCAAATACGGAATGGGAAACTTATTAATGAATATTTCCATTAGGTTTTTTAGTAACTTGTTTTGATAAAATAGGTGAATTCTAAAATTCAAAAAATTTGAGTTTACATGATTTTTTGTTTAAAACCTTCTTAAACTCTCTTTTTGTTTTATAAATTTAAGTTTACGCTAATCTGAAATAATCTAATCATTTTATTTTTAATTGATATCATCTATTGGATCAGAAGGCATGGAAGTAAGAGAATATTATCTTTTTTAATATTATCTTGTTGATTATTATTGAATATATGGACCTATGCATTATACATTTTCAGAAATCCTTGAGTCTGACTCTTGAATACTGTCTATATACATTTCTCTTAATTAAATTTTGTTGTTTTATAATTTATTTGATTATGAATCAAAATTAATTTTCACAATTATCAAAATGAAAAAAAGAACCTTTTAAAAAATGTTAACAAATACCAATAGCAATCTTTAAATACAGATTTTAGTATATGAATAACAAATAATTCAAATTATAAATAGTATTATCATAACTAAATTGATATTTTTTTGTATGTAACTATAATATATAATAATCAATAAATATATATTTTTATTAATAATGAGTGAAAGTTAAGAGTCATCAGAATTTTAATCTTGTTCTTCTAAACTTGAAAATAAGTACAATTAAATATAATAATAGGAGAAGTAACTAATTAGGATTGACTAATGTAGAAAGTGGAGATGAATAAATAAAAAAGAAAATAAAATTAAATGATGAAAATGGATAAATTAAAATTTCAAGAAAGGTAAGTGATGATCTCATTAAAATATTTGAGAGATTACCAAATGATTAAATCACAAAATTATTAGATGCTATCAAAGTCAAAAATTCACGTATATATCAATTCAATTTTCATATAGCTGATTTACCTGTGAGAGTGAATCTTGTTGATTTAATGTAAAAAGATGAAGATTTTGTTTTGGATAGTTAATCTGACTCATAAAAAGAAAAAAAAAGAAAAAAAAGAGAATCCAAAGAAAAAGAATGCAAATGTTGTAAATAAGTAGTGAAACGACATCATTGTACACATACAGAATGTGAAAAGCCTTGTTAAATATTAGAAAAAATGAAAAAAAACAAAACTTGAATTGTATATTCATTTCTATACTAAATTCCTCTATTTATTTTTCATATTTAATCACTATACCAAATTTAATATACAAATTCATGTGATAAATACGAAATTTAATTATATTCAATATTCTAATGTCTATATCTAAAGAGGTGATATAATATGATAATAAAGTATCATTAAGATAATCATAATATACAAAATTAGATTTTCCATTTCTTAATTATGCTAAAATTTAAGTTCAATATTAGAAGTAAACTTTTAATTATATATTTGAATTTAGATTTTTTAGAATCTAAATATATTAAAAACAAAGAGAAGATAATTATTGTACAATAGTAAAAGTAAAAAATCAAAGAAAATTACAATTTATTAACTTAATTGATTTTAAAAACAATGATATTTTTATTTATTGTAAAAATAACAATTGCATGGAAAACTTAGAGTATTAAAGAAAATATATAAACTTGTTAAATCTTTGAAAGTGGAAATCAATAAGAATGCGAATTAAATGATTTAATTATATTTAGGTTAGACTCTTATTTTGCAATTTGTTTAATCTCATCTGAAATTGGAGTTTAAAGTGTTTTATATGAAAACTCTTAAGGAAATTAAAATTTTATTTGTGTACTAAAAGATTAGATTTTGATATATCCTCTACCATATACTTGTGGAAGCCAATTTAAAAGACTTCAACATTAAAATCAATTTTAAAACTATTCTTTAACTAGAGATAATTCATCTATGTATATATTTGGTGGATTTGATGGTTCTGAATTAAGAAATCAATTGTATAAATATAATTTTGAAGATCTTTTTAATAACTAAATTACCTATTCAATTCTGCCAAATAATTTTATATAAAAATTAACAGTTTCATTAGATTTATGGGATGGGTCTAAGGAAGATTTTTAATTTACATCTAATTTTCCTTAGCTATAAAAATTAAAGAATTTAGGTTATAAATATACAGTTAGTTCTATTTTAGATAATTCTTAATGTTTATCTTCAAACATTCCAAAATGTTTATAATATAGTGTTATTGTATATGTTGATGAATGTAATTGCATTAAATTATTTTATGGAAGAGATTCTAATAATATTAATCAAAATGAATCTTGGTTATACTATTTAGATGATTAGGTTTGGTAAGAAACTACACTTGATTCTATTATAAAATTTGGAACAACTCCTATTGGATAATATTTTCCAAATATAAATATGATTGGTTTTTATGCAGAAAATACATATTACTTTTATTATGATTGGGAATGGTATAAAAATTATGAGTAATTAAATTTTGGATCTATGTTTAAATAAATGATTGCTTATGATAACAAGACATTTCTATTAAATTCCTCGAGTATCCTTTATAGTGATTATACTGATCAAAAGAATATTAAAAGCTAATAGTATGGTATCTATATATGTTAAGATGATTATCGTGGTTATGATTGTTAAATTCAAGATTTACAATGTTTAGGAAGCATATGTTTTAATGATTTATTATTTGAGAAAATCTGTGTATATTGTTAAGGACATGGTACTTGTTAAAATGGAAAATGTATATGCGATGAAGGATATAGTGGCAATGATTGTAGTTAATATGCTAAATGTTTAAATGATTGTTCAAATTAAGGATCTTGTATTCAATATTTTCCATCACCTTAATGTAGATGTAAATAGGAGGATAAAAGGGGAGGAGAAGATTGTTCAACAATCTTTTGTCTGAATGATTGTTCCAATAATGGAGTTTGTATTAATGGTGTATGTGAATGTATAAATGGAGTAAAGGGTGATGATTGTAGTATATTAAATCTAAAATTTATTGATGAATGATATATATATATATTAGAATATTTATTATATTAGTATTTTGGAAGAATATTTAGTTTTAAACATATTATTATTTTTAATCCATAGAAACATAGAAGAATTCTAAATTAAAAAAGGATAATAGGTTTAACTTTCTTTTTTTTCATTAATGTTTTTAGTATTATTTAATAGGATTCTTATATTTAATAGGATTTATCTTATATTATATTAAATTTCAAATAGATTTATAAATTATGCTAGAATTTATCATAAAAAGATTGTTAATCATTATGATAGTTTTTAACAAAAGTAATTTTCCTTTTGAAGGGTTTCTAAAACGTTTTTAAAAATTCTTCAAATAATTAAATAAGATATAAATAAATAATATTAGGGAAAATTAAATTAGAAATATGACTCAAATAATAATATATTAATTTATAAAATGTAATTATAGAAGAATTGTAAATCACATGATTATTAAATAATGATATTATTTATTATGATTAAGTACTTAAGTTTAATAAAAGATAACTTGTTATTTTAATTGGTTACGATTGCCAATAAATATATCAGATGTACTTATCTTTCAAATAAGTCACAAAGAAAAAGTTATCTAGGAAATAGAATTCAATTTAGTTTTCAATAGCCTTATTTGATACGCTTATGATTTTATAAATAGGATTATTTTATTTTATGTCATATTGAATTTAAATCCTTTAGTATTTATCCTTTATTCATTTCCTTATGAAAATAGATTAATCTCATAAATTTATTCAATCTCAGAGAATTAGAAGTAATAATTCCTTTAATAAAATATCGAACAATTGAATAAATCCTTCTTAATTAATTAAACTTAACTAAAGTATGCAATGAATTAATAGTTTAATCAAATCTTTCAGTTAAGCAACCTAAAATAATGAGTTGATGAATTTTCTGATGATTAAATATAAGATATAGTTTTTTCATAATCTGACACATCTTAATTATCAATTTTAATTATTGAGCAACCTTGTGATTAAAAATAGTTCTAAATTTCTGGTTTAAGAATGTCAAGATCACCAATTATATAATTAGGAATAATTTGTTTATTATATTCATAGAGTCAANTGATTGTAGTTAATATGCTAAATGTTTAAATGATTGTTCAAATTAAGGATCTTGTATTCAATATTTTCCATCACCTTAATGTAGATGTAAATAGGAGGATAAAAGGGGAGGAGAAGATTGTTCAACAATCTTTTGTCTGAATGATTGTTCCAATAATGGAGTTTGTATTAATGGTGTATGTGAATGTATAAATGGAGTAAAGGGTGATGATTGTAGTATATTAAATCTAAAATTTATTGATGAATGATATATATATATATTAGAATATTTATTATATTAGTATTTTGGAAGAATATTTAGTTTTAAACATATTATTATTTTTAATCCATAGAAACATAGAAGAATTCTAAATTAAAAAAGGATAATAGGTTTAACTTTCTTTTTTTTCATTAATGTTTTTAGTATTATTTAATAGGATTCTTATATTTAATAGGATTTATCTTATATTATATTAAATTTCAAATAGATTTATAAATTATGCTAGAATTTATCATAAAAAGATTGTTAATCATTATGATAGTTTTTAACAAAAGTAATTTTCCTTTTGAAGGGTTTCTAAAACGTTTTTAAAAATTCTTCAAATAATTAAATAAGATATAAATAAATAATATTAGGGAAAATTAAATTAGAAATATGACTCAAATAATAATATATTAATTTATAAAATGTAATTATAGAAGAATTGTAAATCACATGATTATTAAATAATGATATTATTTATTATGATTAAGTACTTAAGTTTAATAAAAGATAACTTGTTATTTTAATTGGTTACGATTGCCAATAAATATATCAGATGTACTTATCTTTCAAATAAGTCACAAAGAAAAAGTTATCTAGGAAATAGAATTCAATTTAGTTTTCAATAGCCTTATTTGATACGCTTATGATTTTATAAATAGGATTATTTTATTTTATGTCATATTGAATTTAAATCCTTTAGTATTTATCCTTTATTCATTTCCTTATGAAAATAGATTAATCTCATAAATTTATTCAATCTCAGAGAATTAGAAGTAATAATTCCTTTAATAAAATATCGAACAATTGAATAAATCCTTCTTAATTAATTAAACTTAACTAAAGTATGCAATGAATTAATAGTTTAATCAAATCTTTCAGTTAAGCAACCTAAAATAATGAGTTGATGAATTTTCTGATGATTAAATATAAGATATAGTTTTTTCATAATCTGACACATCTTAATTATCAATTTTAATTATTGAGCAACCTTGTGATTAAAAATAGTTCTAAATTTCTGGTTTAAGAATGTCAAGATCACCAATTATATAATTAGGAATAATTTGTTTATTATATTCATAGAGTCAATTAGCCCCTCAATCTACACATATAATGACAACATTAGGATTGTATTATAAATAGAAAACCTTTTGATTGGTTTTAGTATTGAGAATGAATATTGCTATATTTTACATATGTAATATTAATATATCAGTTTTGCAAATAATTTGGGTGATTAAAAAAATAGATCAGAGTGGCGAATGTATTTCAATCAAGATATTTTCTGTAATATAAATTCAATCATCATTTAAGAAGGAATGTATTTCATAAATATATATATATTTGGATGTTAATTTAATATTTAATGGGATGAGAACATTAATCACATATTAAAATCTTTTTATTTGAAATAAAAAAGTAATGGTCAGCAGATTGAGGAAATGCCGTAAAATGAGAGGACATGTATGTCACGGATATGGTAGAGTTGGTAAACACAGAAAACATCCAAGCGGTAGAGGTGTTTCAGGAGGTTTAACACATCATCGCATCAATTTCAATAAATACCATCCAGGTTATTTCCAAAAAGTATTAATCTTTATCTATATTTTAGACTGGAATGAGACATTTCCATTTAAAAAAGAATACTCTTCATAAACCAGTTGTAAATATTGACAAATTATGGTCACTTGTCACAGATGAAACCAGAAAAAAATATGCTAGTTCAAAAGATAAAGCAGCTGTGATTGATGTTACAAAGGCTGGCTATTTCAAAGTTCTTGGAAAGGGTAGACTCCCAAATTAACCTGTTGTTGTTAAAGCTAAATTCTTTAGCAAAACCGCAGAAAGAAGAATTAAAGCAGTTGGTGGTGCATGCATACTCGTAGCCTGATACATTACATATTACAATATTAAATAAACAATAATCATTCAATCTTTTTAAATTACAATGCACAATTAACTGCTAATTCCCATTATTTATATTGTTTATCATATGACTATTTACCTTCATAAATCTATTAAACCTTCATATTCTAAATAATCTCTTATTCTGTTAATAATTTCAATCCTACTCCAGCAAACATTGCAGCTCCTGAAGCAGTAGATTCTATTATTTCTGGATAAATTAATTTCTTTTATGTAATATCTGCTTACAATTACATCAATTCTTTATTCTTAGTTAATCCTCCATCTACATGAATCTTATTAATCTTAATTCCTGATAATTCCATAGCTTTTATTACATCTTTTGTTCTATAACAAACTGATTCTAATATAGCTCTTCTTAGATGATCTTTTGTAGTGTAATAACTTAAACCAATAATTGTTCCTGTTGCATCAAAATTCCAAAATGGAGTGAATAATCCACTAAAAGCTGGTACTATATATACTCCTCCATTATCTTCTGTATTTACTGTACTTTAACTCAATTATTCCCAATTATCAAACCATTATAATTTATCTTTTGCCCAATTGAATAGTTAACCTCCACTTTCAACAGCTCCTTCAAAAGCATAAATAGGTTTCTCATTTTCTTTTTGATATAAGACTGTAGTTAATAAACCATATTCTGAGATTTTAATTTCTTATCCAATATTTGCCATAATAAAAAGACCACTACCTTGTGTATTCTTGCAATCTCCTTCATGAAATAATGCATGACCAATTGCTGCTGCTTATTAATCACCCAAAACACAATTAATAGGTACTCCTTCATATTCATCAATCTTCAAAGTACCAAAATTACTAGTTGAAGCTTATATTTATGGTAAACAATTTTTGGGAATATTGAATTATCTAAATATATATAAAATTCATACTTTAATAATTCTTCATCCCATTAAAGAGTATGTAAATTCATCAAATTAGTTCTTGATGCATTTGTTACATCTGTTAAATGATTCTTTTCCCTTGTCAAATTCCACACTATCCAACAATCTATAGTACCAAATAATACATTTCCTGTATTAAGATCATCTTTTATAGATTAATTGTTTTGGATCATCCATTATAATTTATATGAACTAAAATATGTATTAATTGGCAATCCAGTTTTTTATTAAAAATAGTTCTTTGGATATTTATTTAAATATTCTTAACAAATATCATGTGTTCTTGTATCACTCCATACTATTGCATTCATATATGGGTATCCAGTTTATTTATTCCATACAACAACTGTTTCTCTTTAATTTGTTACTCCAATTGTTACTAATTTATGTAGTCCATTTATCTTTTTATATGCTTACTTAATGCATTCATTAGTATTATTTAATATCTCTATTGGATCATGTTCTAACCATCCTTAATGTAGAGTGATTTATTTATGAGTTATATAATGATAACTAAGTTATTCACCTTTCAAATTACAAATAGTAAATCTAGTGCCAGTTGTTGAAGAATCAATAGAACCAATTAATGATTACATATTATAATTATTTAATACATAATTTTACTATCTAATTATGTTTATAATATTAATTAATTAATATTCAATACAATAAATCAATTTGATTATTATTAAGTGCTTTTTTCTAATTCTTTAGATTGTTATTTACTAATTGATTCTTTTTGAGATATTTTACGATTTTGCTTTTAAGAGATAGAATGATTATCTGAAGATAGAACTTCACTTTAATTCATTCTACCTTTCTATTTACGATAAGAAGATTTGCTTTTATTATCACAAAAGTTGAGAATATATTATAAATCTTATTTGCTATTCTTTATTGTTTTTGATTGATACAATCGCTCTACTTATTATTTTTATTCATTAAAAGATGGTTTACATAAAGAAGGAAGTGAAAACTAATACTCTTTCATTAAAGATTCACGAAATGATGAATTACTATTCAAATAATTACTTAGTTATCCATTTACTTTCAATTTTAACATTGTTGGTAATTAAGCATAAGGACTATTCTAAGATTACTTAGGTAATTTCTATAAACTATAGGATTTAGAATTTTAAGGTCGTAATCCAGAGATGTTATTATATTCTTTAATACTTAAATTTAATGCTGTCATAAGATCATTTTTTAAATTGTTTCCATGTATTTGAGAATCCTTTAATTTACTTAAATTAATTGAATAAATTACTTAAGCAATCTCTATTCTTCAGTGCTCATCTAATCACATAGTGTTTATTACTCTTACAATCGTTTTGAAATTTATTCTTTAAATAAATTTTATTCTTATCTAATTTTTTCTATTTTTTCTGCTTTCTTTTATTCCAAATCTTATTTCATATTAAATTCCCATTCAGAGATCTATCTTATTAAAAAAATAAGATACTCTAGCATATTATTGTTATTTCTCTAAAAGTTCTTCTTCTCTTTTCTTTTTGTTTTAATACATCTATAATGCCAGTTATTATTTCGCTAATGCAGTTTTCAAACATTTCTCATCAAATATATCTTATTTCATCTTTTTTGCTTCCTCCTGTTATTATTATTTATTTTTTCTAATCTAATTTTATATACCATTATCATTGTTATTATTTGCTTCCATGATTTTGCTAAGCTATTTAATTTACCATTAAGATATACTTCCATTTGATCTTCAAATTTCTATTTCTTAGCATTAACAATCTTTTCTACTTTTGCCTAAATTATATTATTGTTTGCTTCTTATAAATTAAGTTATTATTTCAATTATATTAATCGATTCTCAAGAGCAGTAAGTTCTTGGTTTTTTTAATTTAGATGTTTAATCTATTAAGAAACTGTTTCCATCTATATTACTATAATAAAATAATAATTAATCAATGATATATTTAAGAATTCTTTTAAATTAAGTATAAAATCAATATGTAAAAGTTCAATTTAAATCTTCTAATTTTAACTAATAAAGTAATTATTTTTATGCAAAGTCAGAATGATTATATACAATAGAATTGACTTTGAATTTCAAATTAGAACTAAGAAAGAGTAATATATGATTTTGGATTAGGTATTAATCACTATATTACTTTAAAAAAAGAAATCAACATTAAAAAAATAATCAATAAAATTATTATCATTGTGGCTTTTTTTATATAATATATCGATTTTAGACAATTTAATTAAAGTAAATTAAAATTATAATTTATGAAAAACAATCACAAGCGTCGATTTTAAGATGTAGATCATTTGATTTAACTCAGACAAAAAGCTATACCAAATAAAGGAGATTATCTCTATGATTATAAGTTATAGGAAGCATTAAAAAAAAGAGACACTTATTCAAAAGAGGAATTTAAATAAAAATTTAAGATAGATTTCGAAGATCTGCCAATTTCAACTAATACATTTAGAGCTTTGAAATAGAGAAAGTTTATTAAAATGACTGAGATTTAAAGATGTGTTATACCACATGCATTGGCAGAAAGAGATATTTTAGGAGCATCTAAAACAGGAAGTGGAAAAACATTATCATATTTAATACCTTTAATTGAAAATCTTTATGTCAATAAATGGACTCCTTTAGATGGTTTAGGAGCTTTGATAATTTTACCAACAAGAGAATTAGCAATGCAAGTATTTGAGGTTTTTAAGTCACTTAATACTTATCATATTTTATCAATGGCTTTGTTAATAGGTGGAAAAAATTATTAATATGAAAGAGATAGAATTAGTGGAATGAATGTTATTATATGTACACCTGGAAGACTCTTATAACATTTTGAAGAGAGTCCTGGATTTGATGCAAATAATTTAAAAGTCTTAGTATTAGATGAAGCTGACATGATGTTAGAATTGGGTTTTTGGGGACCTTTAAAGGCAATAATGAACTATCTTCCAAAAGAGAAATAGACTATGTTATTTTCTGCTACTCTCAATTAATCAATTCATTAATTGTGTAAAATATCTCTTATGAATCCAGAGAGCATTTTCTTACATGAGAAATTGATTACAGATTCAAATGAATAAGCAGATAATATGATTTCAACACCAAATAAATTATAATAATTTTATATTGTAACACCAATTGAAGAGAAAATAGATGTTCTCTTTTCATTTATAAAATCACATAATAAATAAAAAATTGTAATATTTGTATCTACATGTAAATAAGTAAGATATTTATTTGAAGTGTTTCGAAAATTAAAATTAGGTATGCAATTATATGAATTACATGGTAGATAAAAGTAAGATAAAAGAACAGCTATATTTTTTACATTTTCTGAAAAAAAAGCTGCTGCATTATTTACTACTAATATAGCATCAAGAGGATTAGATTTTCCTAAAGTAGATTGGGTCATTCAATTTGATTGTCCAGATGATCCATCTACTTATGTACATAGAGTTGGAAGAACTGCTAGATATATAGCTGGTGGATTTTCTATGCTCTTTTTATTACCTTCTGAAATTAAATTTATTGATAAAGTCAAGTAAAAAGGAGTAGAAATTAAATAAAAATTTTTAAATTCCAATAAACAATTAACAATTAAATAAACAATTTAGAGTTTAGTATCTGAAAATATAGAACTAAAATATTTAGCATAAAGAGCCTTTATTAGTTATGTTAGATCTATTGATATTAATGCAGATAAAGAAATATTTAAGTTAAAGGAAATCAAAACTGATTTATTAGCTGAGAGTATGGGATTAGTTTAAGTTCCAATTCTTACAGTTTAATAATAAGAAGAGTCTGATTAAGAGAATAAACCAGAAAAAAAATCTAAATTATAAAAACTTAAAGATAAAATTGAAATTAAAAAGTAAATGGCAATAGATTAAAATAAACCAATTGAAGCTAAAAAACTAAAGTAAATATCTAGAGAGAGTGGATTTGAGAAATTTGAGGATATGAAAGCTAAGACTTTTGATTTTGAAGGGGAATTTTTAAAAAGAAAACCTTAATAAGAGATTGAAGAAGAAGAGGATGAAGTTGAACAACCAAAATTTGTGACATCTAAAAGATAAATGAAAAAGGTCAAGGCAGATGGTATATTTGGAGGAAGAAATAAAGTATTTTTTGATAATGAAGGTAATAATATTAAAATATTATTTTAGGTAATTAAATCACAGCAGAGGAGAAGAGAAGATAAGAAATTTTAGAAGGATAATAAGAAGTTTTAAAGAAAGATGAAGATAGAACATTAAAATATGGATAGAAATTAATTGAACATGCAGAAGATGATAAAGCAAATGAAAAGGATAGAATCAAATAGAAAAGATTAAAAAAGAAAATAAGAATGTAAGAAGTTTAAGAAGAGTATTGATTTTATTGTAATTAATATATATAATAAAAAAATGAATATAATTAAGAGTACTAATTCTTTTTACTAATTTTCAAAGGAATATTAAACCTATTTTAAAGATAAATCAGTAGAATAAATTGAAAAACCTTAAAATCCTGTTACTTTAATGAATTCATTTTTACGTAATTCCTCTTTTGCCAAAAAATCTGTATAACCTTTAGATTGGCCTTCTGATTTAGATTTATCAAATATCAGGGAAGAATATTTTATTATAGATCCTACCTAAAGATTTTAAAGAGAATGGAATGAAAAGAAACTATTTTTTAAGCATAGATAAAGTCCTTTAAGAACAGACTCATTTAACAGATTTAGAGAAAATATTCGTTCTTTGAGTAAAACCTAAAAATTTTAGAAGGACAATCTATAGTATGAACAAGCAGCTATTTTTCCAAGTTAAAGAAAGTTAGAATTACAAATGACAGTGTAAGCATAAAAGGAATATAAACATAAAAAAGAATAATTTAACTTCCTAAATAAGCAACATCGTTTAATTGAAAATCTCCATCATGATGATATAGTTTAAAAATCAGTTATAGAAAGTACATAAAGTAGTTTATGTAGACTAACAGATGAATGCCAATAAAGATGAAACATTTAATTAGGAGAATAACAAATTACATAAGACAAATTTTGATAATGAAATATCAAGTGATTGGGCAAGAAAACGAAAATCTCCATTAAATAAATTAGATACTTTTCATAGGGTTATTTCTCAAGAGGACAATGAAAAAAGTAAATTGGGTAAAGCAAAACCAAATAGAGTAAAGTAATTTGAGAGGAAAGGGAGAGAATATAATATTGTAAATTTTGGCTGTAATTGAAATTTAATTTATATAAAATTATTTATTGTTAATCCATTAATAATATTAAATTTGAAATGAAAATATTTGAATAGAGTTTTGGTAAATAAGAAATGTTACAAAAGACAGCATAATTCTTTAATCCATAAATTGGAAAATTGAATCAAAACTTTTAAAAAAGAAAGAGGGAAAATTCTTTGCCTTAATAAAACCTTGAGGCTATCAAATCAATATTATCTAAAACAAAAATACTTTAAAAAAATGTCCTTTGTAGAAAAACTACTATTCATACAATAAATGATTGTAAATAAGAGAATCTCTATAGCTATTAAAGTACTAAATAAAGTACCAAATAAAGTACTCAATAAAGTACATAAGATTCCCAAGATTTTAGCAATAATATTCCTAAAATTTAAGATTTGAATTTATAACATTCAAGTAATCCTTTTAGTGTTCTTAATTACAAATCTACTTTTAATATTAGAAGGCCTATTATAAAAGAATATAGTAGTTGGGAAACACAATAACTAGAGAATAATTCTGTAATCAGCAAAATTTCCAATAGTTTAGAAGGGAAGAAATATATAATAAAAGTAAAGGATCCATTTGGATAATCAAAAAAACAACCCATTTAAACATCAACAAGAAAATATTCTTCGAAATCATTCGTAAATTAAAAAGCACAGATTAAATTGGTAAATAGAATATTTTCATCAAGATCAGAGAGCTTATAAAAATGAATATATAGTTTTTTTTTGTGTTTGAATTATCTTTTTTAAGATTATTTATTTAATTTATGAAATGTAGAATAATTAATATTTAAATTTAATTATATTTCAGCAATTCTTTGTACTTTTTTAAATCTAGAAGATAGTATAAAGATGTAAGTATTTCCAAAAAGAAATTGATTTCTTAATTAAAATGATATTATATTATTTTGTTTAAAATTAAATCGTTAAATTGTATGTAATAAAGTGCATCAAAAAGTGCTAAAAAATAAACTAATGCCATAGAGAAAGTATTAATAATATTTTAACATTTAGCCTAGTGATTCAAACATAGCTAGGAGGGTTTAAACGGAGACAATTGATTATGATGAAGCAGAACAAGATATTCAGTCATTCTAAGATATTTCCAATATCAAGTTTCGCAATAAACTTATATCTTTCAATAAACCAGCTAAGAAACCTATAGTAAAAGATTTTAATACACAATTTCAATTATGTTTAAAGAATGAAAACTCAATAAAACCAATATCTGGAACTGTTAAAAAATGTTAAAAACCATAAGGAATAGATAAGATCAACACAAAATCTTTATTAATCCCAGCAAAAACAACTAGACAAGATTATTCTACATATACTTATTAAAATCTTAAAGCCATAGGTAGTGGATCTTTTGGTACAGTTTATAAAGTAAAAAAACAAATAAAGATTTATAGTCAAAAGTAAATGAAACAGGAGAAATAGTTGCTATTAAGAAAGTATTGTAGGATAAAAGATATAAAAATAGAGAGTTATAAATACTATAAGAGTTAAATCATCATAATGTAGTGAAATTAAAGCATTCGTATTTTACACCTTCTGATAACAAAGATGAGATGTATTTGAATGTTGTTATGGATTATTATCCAGAATCATTATATACTTACAATAAATCTTTTAGATAAGCATAAGCAAGAATGCCTGAAATATTGGTGAAAATTTATTCATATTAACTGTTAAGATCAATATAGTAAAAGAGTTTATCAAATAATTAGTTATATATCATTATTGTCCATATGCCATAGAGATATAAAGCCTCATAATATTTTAGTTAATCCTAATCATCATAAACTAGAACTATGTGATTTTGGAAGTGCCAAAAAACTAATAAAAACAGAAACAAATATATCTTACATTTGTTCAAGATGTTATAGAGCTCCAGAATTAATATTTGGAGCTGTTAACTATGATACTTAGATAGACGTTTGGTCAGTGGGATGTGTAATAGCTGAATTATTTAATGGAGAACCATTGTTTTTGGGTGACAGTGCTGTAGATTAATTGATTGAGATCATTAAAGTACTTGGAACTCCAAACAAGGTTCAGGTATTAAGTATGAATTCAGATTATGATATGTAATAATATAAATTTCCATAAATTAAAGCAAGGGATTGGAAGAAAGTAAACAAAATCATTTTTAAATATTAGGTGATAAAAACTAATGATTAATTGGCTACTGATTTAATTTCTAAATTGCTTGTATATTGTCCAAAAACTAGATTCACTCCAATTCAAGCATTATGTCATCCTTATTTTGATTAATTGAGAGATCTCAATCAAATAAAATAATTATAAGAAATCTATAATTTCAACATATAAGAATTATTTGATTTTAGCAATTGTAATTTATTATTAATTATAATATTTAGTGGAAACTAATAAAATGACAAATGATGAAATGAAAAAGGTAATTCCTAATTGGATTAATTGTAGTTCTACTAAAATTGTTAAGACCATAGGTTGATATGTGATATATAATTTATACTTAATTACATGAATAATTTGAAATAAATTAATTAAGTCATTTATTTGCAAACAAATTTGTAGATTCATATATGTTATATTAATGGTTAACCCATTTTAGCTAATTATTAATTATTCCAATTATCAATATAAACTTCTTCTTCATCTGGTTTTTCTTCAAAATATTAATATTCTTATTATTATTCCTTCATTATATATTCTAATTCTTTTTAATATACATTTTAACCAACAAGTTCTAAATATTCATTAGTGTCTACATATTTCTTTTTTGGTTTATCTTTTATTTTTTCTTATAATTATTCATCTAATTTTTTACTATACAAATTGGAAATTTTAGCTAAAATTTTATAAATATTTATACTATTTTTTATAACTTTTTCAACCTATAAATATGGATTATCAATAACTTTAGTATTAAAATTACTCTATATATCTGACAATACAAAATTTTATTATTAATTAAGATGTTCAGCTTTATTGTCTTTTACATATCTATTAATTAATCTACTTGTCATAGGAATACTTTTAGGTCTCTAAGTTGTAATCAATGAAAATGGAGGTCTATCATCCTTACAATCATACCATCTTAATCTGAGATACCATAATCTATCATTATGTTTTTCATCCTCATTTTTATGAGATTCTATAATATTCAATTTTGTAATTCGATCCCTAAAATTATCAGATCTAATCAATATAGTATCAGTAGGAGATCTCTCACAATTAGAAGCAATTTAATTATTTACAAATTCCCATTTCTCTTTTAATTAATCAAAAGATTCTAAAGTTCTTTTATCTCTAGTTATTGCATTTCTTATATGAAGAGGAAGTTTTTATTCTTGTTTAATTTAATCAATCTTATCAGTTTCAATTCTACGTCTAGCTTCTACTAACTTTACTAATGCATCTTATCTTGGTAACATCTTAAATTCACCTCTAGGTTTCTTTGGAATCTTTCTAGACTAATTCATTCCAGACATTTAAGATTGAGATTGTTATAAGACTAAAGGTTTTACAGATGGTACATCATCAGAAAATGATTCATCTCCATCTTGTTTTCTTTATTTAATTACAACTCTTTATCTATTTTTATTTCTCACTGCCAAAAATTATTCAGCCTTACCAACAATAGACCATTTTACTATTTTTTCTTTTTTATCATCTTCATATCTTGGCCCAACTTAACTATCTTTGTATTTCTTCCTCTCTTCATTATTAACCTCTATGTAATTATATATATAATACCATCAAAGATATTTCTTATTGTATGTAAGGAATTAGGTTTCATAAATATAGATTTGTATGTGCTTTATTAGATATTACTTTCAAACAAAAAATCACTTCCTGTAACAGCTGCTGTGGTTGCAGGACGAATGCTGTCTTCATTAGATTTATAACCTAAATCAACTTTTGATGATAAAAACAATTTTCCTTTTTAACTCATTTTATATATAAATTAATTAAGATGTGGTAATTGATGAATATATTGCTATAAATTCATTTTTTATTAGAAATAAATCTTCCTTTCTCTCTTTATCGAGATTTAGCTTTTTTAGTTCTATAATCATAATGGTTCTTTTTAGTAAATTATCTGTTATTTTTTTTTAGTCTATATTTTTATATTTTTTTTTATCTCTCTTAATAACTTAATGGTCCAATCTATATTTAAGTTGAGAATTTAAATGAATTAAAGTATTCTATCATTTCTTTTGTTAACCCTTCCTTTATTGGAATTAGTTATTTTATATCAATAAATTGAGCCAAGAATGCATCAGCCTTTTGAATATTAGCTTAAGAGAAAGGATCACTAGTATTTGTTTCTTTCATAATTATTTATCTGAATTAAAATTACAAAATGTAATTTACAATTATTATTATTAAAATACTCTCGATATTATGGCAAATAAAGTGGGGGCAACCTAGATTTATGAAACTTAACCTATGAAATTTGGTGAGGAAAATACTGAAAATACTGGTGTGATTGCTCCTTATAATCTATGTCCAAAAGGAGTCTATATTTTAAATATGTGTACTACTATAGCTAATACATTTCTATTGTCAAGTATGTATATATATCTAATAATCTCTCTATAGCATCAGGATAAGTGTATTCTTGGGGAAACAATTGTGAAGAATTAGGTAGAACATGTACTACTTAAGCAGAGGCTTCAAGACCAGCCATTGTTTCATTTTAGACTAAAATTATGTAAATTTGTTCAGGTAATAATCATATTCTTGCATTGGATGTAAATGGTGTTGTCTATAGTTGGGGAAGAAATGAAGCAGGATAACTTGGATAAAATGATTTAGATCCAGTATCTTTACCAAAAGAAATAGAATTTTTCAAAAAGTCTCCTGTTGTTTAAATATATGCTGGAGGAGATTCTTCTTATGCCATTACAAAAAAAGGAAGTTTATTTGCTTGGGGTGATAATTCAAATAATTAACTTGGTTTGTCAGATGGAGATCATTCTTCTCCTTAATAGGTGATATAAACACCTTGGGATAATGCAAGAGAAGTAAAGATTGTTTATGGGAAAAATAATCTAGGTTATTTATTTAATATAGATAATATTACAAAGGAATAAGAAAATTAAGTTGTCAATATGTAATTAAAAGAAGCTTCAGAAGAAATTATGAAATTATAATAAAAATTAAATGAGTAACAGAGTCTATCAGCTAAATAACCTGCTATTGTTGAAAAAACTATGGGTGAAGATTAATTACTTAAAAATATTTAAACTTAAATATAATCAGCTACTGGATAATCTAATTCTTAAGAAAATACATTAAAATAAACAGAAGAAGAAATTTTATAATTAGAAAAAGATTTGTAGAGCATTAAATAATAATTATGTAAAGTCTTAAATATATATAAATTTAGTTGATATTTTTGCTAAGGAAAATGAATTGAATAATTAAAGAGAAGAAGTTGATATGTAAGTGAGAAAATTAGAAAGAAGTGATCAAGGCAAATCAGCTGAACATGAATTAAAAATTAAAGAATAAAAGAGAATTAAAGAATTATTTTAAGCTAATGATAATATTAAGAATAATTTATTAAAAAGATAGAATTAATCAGAAGAAACTAAATTAAGAAGATAAGAAGAATTAGGTAAATAAAGAGAAAAAGCTAAAGATTTATAAAATCTAATTTCTTTATTAAGGATTGTAGAAACTGATAGAAAAATCACATTAAAGAAAAAGTTTTTAGAATAAAATAAAGTAGATTTAGAGAAATTCATGGAAAAGATTACTCATTTTTTCAGAGAAATGTGTGATTGTAACATAGCTGAAATAGCTAAAAAGACTAATTAATTATCTGGAATGGCTAATATTATTAAATAAAGTAATGAAAAATTATCATATATTAAAAATGAATTAATGGGATTTAAGATAAATTCTAGTGATGAAAGTTATGAGATTTTATCCAAAATTCTTGATATTTTATAAGATAATCTTAATCTTAGAAAAAAATTAAATGATTATATGGTGGGAGTAATTATGATGAGTGAAGAGAAAACATAATAGCCAATTAAAGTTTAAGAGACTCAAAATTAACAATAAAAAAAGTTATAGCAATTTATTGAGAAATAACAAAAAGAATTGTAAGAAATTGGAAGATTACAAATTGATGGTAGAAAATATAAGGCACAAGTTCAATCTATTAATAATATGAAACTGAAATAAAGAGATGTAATTATCAATTCTTATTTAGTTTTGTTTTGGTTTAATTTGAAATTTATTTTCAATTCGAAATTACGTCTTTTTATTTATGATGTAATAATAAAAATAATGATTAACTAATTGCTTTTCGTATCATTCTTGTTCTTAACTAATGGAGTTGGATTATTTGAATAATACTATCCATTAGCCGATGAGATAGCCAAGTCTATGTCTTTGCAGTAAAAGATAGGTCAAACATTGTAAGTTGATATTACAAGCTTTAATGATGAACAAGGGAATACCCATTATGAATAAATATCTTAACACTTCTTGGGTTCCATATTAGTAGGTGGTAATGGATGTCCAGATGGTAGAGGAAACATAATTGCATCAGACAATTGTTTCTAAGCAACTAATGCTAATTGGAGAGATGTAGCTTAAAGAAGCTTGAAATAGAAGGTAGTTGTAAATGTTCCTGGTCACGGGGAAACATAAATAAATTTATTATTGGGTACAGATGCTGTTCATGGAAACCAACACTCTGTTGGAGCAGTTCTTTTCCCACATAATATCGGTTTGGCTGCTAGTCACAATGTAGAAAATTATATAAAAGCTGCTTATTGGACTAAACAAAGTATTTTAGATTGTGGTTTTAACTTTGCCTTTGCCCCAACTGTAGCTGTTTCCCATAATCCAAAATGGGGACGATTTTATGAAACCTAAGGGGCAGATCCTAAATTCGTTAAAGAAATTGGTAGGGCATACATAAAGGAGTTGTAAGAAGATGATGGAAAAAAAATAAAAGGAGTATTGGGATCAACAAAACATTATTTTGGTGATGGTGCAACTTATAATGGATATGATGAAGGTAATTGTAGAGTTGAGAATTTTGATGTTTTTTATAACAATAATATTTAAGGATATATTGGAGCTTTGGAAGCTAATACAGGAACAATTATGGTTAGTTATAGTGCTATTAATGAATTACCAATGAGTATTAGTGATTTAATTAATGTTGATTTGAAATAACAATAGAAATTTGATGGATTTATTATTAGTGATTATAATGCTGCAATCAAAGTAGCATATTAAGGTTTACCTACAACTCATGCAAAAATGTCAATTGAAGATGCATATACTAAATCATTTAATTCTGGAATGGATATGTAAATGGTAGATGGTGCTGTAGGATGGTATGAGGAAGTTATGAATAATATTATAGGATAAGGTAGAATTTCAACAGAAAGATTGAATGATGCTGTCAAAAGAATATTGGCAGTTAAACTGGCTATGAATTTAATTGATGTACCTGAAACTTTGGCTAAGAAATATAATTATACATAAGAAAAAAAAGAAGAGAAAGTTGAAAAATAGGAAGTTTCAAATGATGATAATGATGCTGAATATTATGATGCTTTAAGATCTGCAAAAGAATCTTTGGTTTTATTGAAAAACAAATAAAATTTATTACCAATTAATAAATTCAAAATAACTAATGTTATTTTATTGGGAGAAAGACTTTGGTCATTCAAAAATGAATTTAAGAGAGTCTTTTAAGATTTTGATAATATTGGAGCTTAAAATGGAGGTTGGACTATAAGATGGTAAGGATTTAATGGAAATGATTATTGGTCAAATGATCTAAAAGTTTCATCAAAGGCTTCATCTATACTTGATGCTATTAAAAGTAGATTTAATTCAGCCAATATTTATTATATATAATATTCAGATCCAACAAATCTATAATTGATTAATGAACAAAGAAACAATTTCAGAAACAACATCATAAATACTTTAGATTAATTTAATAGAGAAAATACATTAATCATCAATACTCTAGCAGAGAATCCATATGCTGAATTTATGGGAGATATAGATTGTGAATATTGCAAAACTTAAGATAAATAAGGATGTATCTATAATAATTGGATCAATCAGTATTTACCAGATGAATAACCAACAACTCTAGAGATAAATGTTGGAGATTATGAAAAACAAGTATTTTATTATTTTTATTTAAGATCATTAATATTATTAGATAAAAGGATGTGGATATTCCAGTAGTCACAATCTTATTTAGTGGTAGACCTATGATTATCACTAATCCACTTTAAGTTAGTTCAGCATTTGTAGCAGCTTGGTGGCCAGGTACAGCTGGTGGTGAGGCAGTTGTTTAATCACTTTTTGGAGAATATTTATTCAAATCTTAAGGTAAACTTAATACACTTCCTGTCCCATGGATGAGAAATATGTAATAGATCTCAAACTATCCCATCTATGGAAATGAAGTTCCCTAAATTGAAGATCCTCTTTTTGAAGAAGGTTTTGGATTAGAAACAAGACCATAAAACATTCAATGAGTCAATAAATATTATTATACATATAAAAATAAAACTATTATAATCCTGTAGTATTTTCATTAATATTTACACTTCCTTATGATTTAGAAGAAATGTTCAAAGTTTATTAGTAAACTATATAATATTCTTGAAGTAATTTATCTATCATAATGCAGAATCAAATGAGTGATGTCATTCATTGGAATGAGGATTGTGACGCTATAAATATTAATGATATTGAAAAATTGGTTAAAACAGTATTAAGTGTCCACTAAAAACAAAATAATTTTTTCAATTTCTCGAGGTATAATTCTTTTATATTTTATCAGATAATTGAATCAGTATGGATTCCTAAAATAAAGAGTTGGAAAAAACATTTATACTTTTAAGCATGTTCACTTCAACAAAACTAACAAGTAATTAAAAAAAATTTTATTAGAGGGAATTCTCATTAATATCGTTAGTTCCCATAAAATTTAATCCTTTTAAATATATCAAAAGGAATTTGAAGATGATAATCTTGTTAACATTAATAATAAAACTCTTTGACAGCCTCTTTGAAAGAACTTTAAAACTAATAAAAGATTATTTATTAATAATTTTCATAATAAATTGAATTATACTCACAAATTAAACAGATTATTATTTTTCTTAAAAAAGTAATATTATAATATCATATAGACAATTTATGAATGTGATCATAATATAGATAATTATTGTTTGAGAGTATAATTTCATCTTGTCAAAGCAATGAATTTAATACCAAATGATGAATATTAATAAGAAATAGAACTTATAAAATAAATTTGAGAGTAGTTTTCAAATATTTATTTGGAATATGATAATTAAAATTCAATTAGTTAAAGAAATTTTAATCTTTCAGTAAGATCTCATCCACCTTTACCATTTTATCAAGATCAATAGCAAAATTAAAAATAACCTAGACTTGTTGACTCAAAAAATACATAATTATAACAAAATATCTCCAATTATTTAATATGGTTATAATAATAGTATCATGAAGCATCATAACTTTAGGGAAATCTAAAATGATTAATATTTCAATCTATTTTATGAATTAGATATCTATATCCAAATTACTGAATGATACTTTTATTTTTTAAGATAGTTTTTAAGTAAAAATATTAATTAGATGAAAATTTATATATATTATAATCTAGTATGGATGAAATCAGGCATTTTAAATTAGTTCATCCCTAAACCTATTTAAATTCATTTTATCATATTTTTAAAAGTCTTCCAAATACTCAGGATCTATATTTGTTTAAGATCTAATATAATATGAATATTTTACTCAACTGAATTATTAATTATATTAATTAACTTCTAATTCTAATTTCTTTATTGAAGTAAATGAAACTTTGACTTTGAGGTTCTTAGTAATGGTTTGTTATGATCATTAGAATTTTCAAATTCAGTTCTGCTTTTAACATATCTATTTCTTATAGTTTATAATTCTTTTTTGATATCATCTTGATTAGCTAATTTAACTTAAATTGGAATGCTTTATTATTTTTTATAGAACTACAAATTAGCTTAAAATTATGATTTAACAATTTTATTTTTAAATTTTATAGTAGGAAAGGATGCCTACAAAGAATATAAATAATAAATTTACTTTTTGTTCATTTTAATTATTATGAGCAAAATAATTATCATAATAATTTCTCTTAGTTGTTAATCCTTCTTTTAGATTTTGAATAGTCTTATTATTATTTGGAAGAATTATTTTGATAACTTTAGGATCTAGAGATCTATTAGGTAATTATTCAATATGTTAAATAGAAAGTGAATATGATAAGATTTAATTTTGATTCATTTATGGTTATTGTTTTAATCTCATTTTTTTCATTTGTGTTTAACATGTATTAGAATTAGAAGGAGTTCTAATGAATTCATGCTTATATTATTTTAATTATAAAAAACTTTTATCTTCTGATTTTCTCTTTGAATCTAATCTTTTTTGTGATTATTAATTTTTTGATAATCCAAATACATCAAACCTTTTTAATCTAATATCCATAATAATTTATATATATATTAATAATTTATATTATAATATAATTTGTGTGATTCAATGTGTATTTAATTATTTAAACACTCTTAAGTAGTTTTAAAGACAATTAGATCTGTGATGTATTGATAAAAAATCTAATCTATATTTTCTTTGAATATCAATAAAACTATCGATATATTATTGTTCAGTGAAATTGTTGAAATTCTCTCTAAAGCCTTAAAGTTAGTTTAATGTTTTAAAGTTTTGATCATAAGATCATTAGGCAATAATAAAATAGTAAGGAGATCTAAATCATAATGAATAATCACTTTTTTATTATAACAATAGAAGGGATGATGTATAAATAAATCTTATTTAGAAATCTATGATCTATTTAGTGAATTGAAAGTCAATGAGTAGATAATAGTTGACTGTATTAAATTTTATTTGAAAATGTAAACATAATCAGAATAATTCGGATAATACATATTATTCAAATGATAGTGCAATTAGTTTAATTTTTGCTATTTAAGAACTCACGGAATTCTTAAATTTATAATAAAAATAAATTAAAAGAAAACCATCTTTCATGGGACACTTATCAGCATTACTAAGAAAAAACTGGATATTATGGAAAAGAAACTGTTTTTGTTCAACTTGTGAATTGATTTTACCATTGTTGTTAATTCTGGCATTAGGAGGAATAAGGTAATTCTTAACTTTATGGAAGGTCGGCAGTTGAAAAAGAAGATGTAGCAGAGGCTAACTTTTATGATCCTAACAATTTAAAAGATTGGAGAGGTTCTCCTTTTCTTGTTAAACTCTAACCTTACATTGATGAATAATAGATCGAATAAAATCTTATTCAATATTAACTTAGAGACCCTGAACTTGATTTATCAGATAATTTGAAGAAATTGAATACTACCACTAGACTACGACTACTACCTCCAATGAAGTAATTTATTAATGTTATGTTAGGAACTGTATTGATAATTATAGATAGGATTAGAAAAGGATGTGGAGAAATGGTGATATAGCAATGGGTCCAAGTGCTGATCACCCGATAGTAAAAGAACTTTCTGAGATTTTCACAAGTAAAACTTAAATTAATATTTATTAGAGTATTATCATTACAATGTAGTCATTTTTAAAAATAATGAAGAGCTGGATGATTATACATCTTCATCAAAATATGGAGATCCTGATTATCCTAGAGTTTGTTTTGGTGTAATGTTCAATGAAACCTAATCAAATGTTTATGATTATTAATTAAGATTCAATTCTAGTGGTATGATAAACAATGAAATACCACCTACAAATTTCGTTGATATTGATCCTATTAAATATGAGGATTTGGACAAAGCCAATACATATTTGGAATCAGGATTATTAACTGTTTAAAACTTTATAGATAATATAATTATAAGAAGAGAAGTAGCTGCTGATGCTAAAATAACACCAACTTATTCATTCAGTAATATTTTATTTAATAATTTTAGTTCACAGAAGAGAAGGAGTGATTGATGATTTTGCTACTTTCTTAAGAGGAGGTTTTGGTATCTATTTAATATTACCTTTAATGATTATCTATTTGAGAATGACTTATGGTATTATTTATGAAAAGGAGAAGAAACTTAGAGAAGGTATGAAAATGATGGGTTTAAATAATACTTCATTTTATCTATCTTGGATAATCTAATATTTTATTATTTACACTTTGATTTCAATAGTAGCAACCATTTTATTAAAGGGAATGGTATTCAGAAATACTGATGGATTTGTACTATTCATAAACTATTGGTTATTTTGTATGGTTCTCATTTTCCAATCAATGTTTATAAGGTATATAAAAATATTAATTTTTTAGTGTATTTTTCACTAGAGCCTTATTTGGATTGATTGTAGCAATTGTATGGTATTTGTTGATGTACATGGTAATAAGTCTGATTGGAAGTGGATAAAATCTAGTACCTGAAGCAACATATTGGGGAGCATCAGTATCAAGTCATGCGGGAATGTCTTTTGCATTTGATGTTATGATTCTATTTGAGGCATAAGGTAGAGGAGTATCAATGTCAACTATTGGCACAAAGGTTGAAAATTATGCTGTCAATATGGCATTGTCTATGCATATTTTAAATATCTTCTTCTACTTATTTATGTCTATCTATTTAGATCTTGTATTTCCAAATGAATGGGGTAAGAAGTTACATCCTTTATTTTGTATACCCTATTTCAATAAACCACATAAAAGTGAATAGCTTTTAAATAGAAAGGCTTCTCAAATTCATTAAGAAAGATATGAAGAAGTTGAATAAGCATTGAAAGATTAAGAAACAAGAAAGGAAGTTTTATAAATTTAAAATCTCACAAAAATATATCCAAGTGGTAAATAGGCTGTAAGCAATGTTAATTTAACAATGTATATTGGTTAGATATATGCATTGTTGGGACATAATGGAGCTGGTAAAACAACTACTATTTCAATGTTAACTGGTTTATTAGATATTACTGAAGGTTCAGCAACAGTATTTGGATTAGATGTTGAAACATAAATTGAAGAAATTAGATAATTCATGGGTGTTTGTCCTTAACATGATATTTTGTTTGATAATTTAACAGTTAAAGAACATTTAGAAATGTTTGCTACTTTTAAGGGAATGAAACCTGAAGAGATTCCAGCAGCTGTTAGAAGAATGATTGAAGATGTTGATTTGTTAGAAAAAACTGATTATTTGAGTAAGAATTTATCAGGTGGATAAAAGAGAAGATTGTCAGTTGCCATGGCATTTATTGGAAATTCTAAATTAATTTATTTGGATGAACCAACATCAGGTATGGATACAAGTGCAAGAAGATATATTTGGGAGATGCTTAAAAATTATAAGGAAGATAGAATTATAGTTTTAACAACACATTTTATGGATGAAGCTGATTTTTTGGGAGATAGAATTGGTATAATGGGTGAAGGAAAATTATAATGTTCAGGAAGTAGTGTATTTTTAAAGAATCAATTTGGAAATGGATACAATTTAACAATTGTAAAAGAAAGTACATTGGCAGATTCAGAACCAATTATTGAAGCAATTTAAAAGGTTTGTCCTGAATCAATATTGATTTCTAAAGTATCAGCAGAAATCTTGTTGTAGTTACCTTTATAAGCAATTTAGAAATTCCCTTCACTGTTTGCAGAATTAGATAAAAATCTAAAATCATTACATATTTAAAGTTATGGAATTAGTATAACAACTTTAGAAGAAGTGTTTTTAAAAGTAGCATAAATTGGAGCTGGTCATCATCAAGTAAATGAATATATGGAAAAGGAAGGTTAGAATTAAGCTGCTATGTAAATAGATGATTTTGATATCAATTAAATCAGAATAATAAGTTCTGTTTAATTGTTTTTCAATCACACTCTATCATTAATTATAAAGAGATCTCGTTATTTCAAGAGAGATATTAGAAGTTTATGTTGTGAGATCTTATTACCTTGTTTGGTTGTGTTATTAGGTTTAATTTTGATGACAATTGAATTTATTACTGAACCAGAAATTGTTCTATTAACACCACCTTCAGAATGTTATTCAACAGACATAAATTATTTATGGGGAGGTATTAATGATTAAAGTTTATTCAAACACATATAGATGAATGTATATGATGAAAAATAATAAGTATTTGGAGATGCATCTTTAACTAATTTAGGAAAAATTGATTAGAATTATTTTGATACATCAGATTTAAGAACAGATATAGGATGGTATTATTTAACATCAAATACTAATAACGATTTCTAATATTATATGTTTGTTAATTCAATTTTCAGAGAAGGTCCAGTTGTAATGGTTAATTAAATGAATTAAGCAATTCTAAAAAAATTAAAAGGAGATAATTATGAAATTAAAGTTACTAATAGTCCTATGAGAAGAACATTTGAAGAGTTATAGGGTTAAAATACAGTAACTGGATTTTTGGCAGCATTAGTATTTTCAATGGGAATGGCATTTATTCCAGCATCAATTATATCATATATTGTAAAAGAAAGAGAAATTAATTTGAAACATTAATAATTGGTTTCTGGTGTTTCTGTTAAAGCATATTGGTTTAGTAATTGGTTAATGGATGTTGGAAAACATATAATACCTTCAGTTGTTTGTTGTTTATTAATATTAGCATTTGATATTACAGCAATGATTGAAGAAGAAAATTATGGATTCTCTTGGCTTATCTTTTTCTTATATGGTTGGTCAATGATACCATTTTGCTATTTATTTAGTTTTCTTTTCAGACAATAAGGTAATGCTATGCTTTTAAGTTTCTTTTTACATCTAGTTGTTGGATCTATTATTAGTTTAGTTGTCTATATTCTAAGATTAATTAAATCAACAAGAGATATAGCCAAAATATTATAATGGATCTTTAGATTTATCCCATCCTTTTCATTTGCTTATGGAATAGTCAATTCATGTTCAAAAGCTACTTATAAAGTTCTTGAAGGTTGGACTGAAACAAAAAGTACATATGATATTGAAGTTGCAGGAGCAGATTTGATATTTTTGGCATTTACTGGTGTCTTATACATTATCTTAGTGTTTATAATTGAATATTTTGAAGATAATGGTTAATTATAGAAGTTAGGATCAAGTGAATAATCTATTCCATATATTCCTAAACCTATTGATGATGATGTTGCAAAAGAAAATTAATTATGTGAAACATATTAGCCAAATGAAAAAGCTATTCTAGTTAAGAAATTAAGAAAAGTGTTTATGTTAGGAGCAGGTAAACATAAAGTTGCTGTTGATTAAGTTTCTTTTGCTATTGATTAAGGAGAAGTCTTTGGTTTATTAGGAGTTAATGGAGCTGGTAAAACTACAACTTTCAAAATATTATCAGGTGAATTAAAACCAACATTTGGAGAAGCTTATATTGCTGGAAAAAGTGTTATAGATGATTTAGAAGCAGCAAGAGTTAATATTGGTTATTGTCCATAATTTGATGCCTTATTAGACAATCTAACTGTTAGAGAACATATTGAATTATTCTCTGATATAAAGGGTATTCCATATTTCAAAAAGGAAGATTTAGTTGAAAAGAAACTTAGTGAAATGGATTTAAAGAGATTTGAAAATATATAAGCTGGATAACTTTCTGGAGGAAATAAAAGAAAATTATCTGTTGCTATTGCTATGATTGGAAATCCACCAATTGTCTTTTTAGATGAACCATCCACTGGTATGGATCCAGAAGCAAGAAGATTTATGTGGAATGTCATATCAAGAATTGCTACTCAAAGAAAATAAAGTACTATCATTCTTACTACTCATTCAATGGAAGAAGCTGAAGCTTTATCAACTAAAATTGCTATTCAAGTTAATGGAAATCTTAGATGTTTAGGATCAGTTCAACATATTAAAAATAAATTTGGAAAAGGATATGAAATTGAAGTTAAATTAGAAAAACCAATAACTAATGAAATTAATGGATTAATTGCATAAATGTAATTACATGTGGGTTCTAGACTGGATTAATAAAAAACAGTTGAAGTTTTAAGATAAATAGGATAAGCACCTTTAGAATAAGAAATTAATATGAGAGGTTCTGGATCTCATATTTATAATGATTTAAGAAAACCAAATGGTTTAGCAATTGAAACATTAGCAGAATTTATTATTGTTGAAGGTATGGGTAGAGTTCTCATGGATTTCATTATGAAATCTTATGGATAATTTGAAATTATTGAACACTTTTAGACATTCTATAGATTCAGATTAATTGGACAAGTAACAGTTGGTGGATTATTTGATGGCTTTGAAAAAAATGTAATTATTATTTTATATATTAATAGAAAAAAGTTTTAAGAATATCTCAATATTCAATAAAGTAAGCCTCAATAGAATAAATCTTCAATAACTTTGCTTTATAAGATCACTTAGAAAACTAATAATAATAAAATCCATAAGCCATTCATATTTAAATTCCTCCTAATTAATAGGAGATGTAGATCCTATAAAAATGATTAATTTAAATTTATTCATATTGTTATAATTTATATTAAATTAAAACTTAGAAGTTCAAATCAATGGATTTTCAAAATTTGTATCAGCATTTTACAAAAGATTAAATATCTTAACATATTTTGCACAATCCCATTTTGTTTAAAAGTAAAATAGATAATCAAGATCAGACTTTTTAGATCCACCATCTAAATTCATTATCTATAAATCCATAACTTTCAATCCTTCATTAAATTCCTCTATATGTTCCTGTAATTCTTATCTTTATTCTTCAGTCATATTTGTATTAGCCTACTATTACATTTAACATACAGATTCTCTTATCTAAAAAAATATAAAATAATGTTTAATGTTTACTTATTATCCTTATACATGTAAATGAATCTTGTAATTCTTTTAAGTTACTTAAGTTTATAAATAATCTTGATTAACTTAAACTCCTATAATTTCAAGAACAACAAAATATGTATTATAAACTAATAGAAGACAATTTTTGAATTTTGTATAGGATTCTTATTTTTTAAAATCAATTATGGTTTCATGAATAGGAATTTGATTAACAAATGGATTGTAGATATCTTTATATGTGAATTAATGAAGCATAACCATTTATGCTACCCATGCTTTAATACCATTATTAACAGCTTCAGATAATTTAGAAGAATCAAATCTTTAACATAAATTACCAAATAATTATTTTAAACTTTGTCCTTTTTATATGAATATGATTCCTAATATTTATGCTAAATTGACATATAACTAATATTATTATTTTTGTAAGTAATCATTATTTTAAAATAGATTTGACATAGATGACAATTTTTTATCTAATTTTTACATACACATGGTCAATTCATCAAAAAAGTTTTAAGCACCAATTTATTTATAAATTTTGCGTAGAGCTGAAAATATTTATGTATATTCATCCATTCTAATTTCTACTACACACATTAACATTTATTTAAATACTATTTGTATAGTTTTAAAGATACTATTAACTAATTTTAATTGTTATAATAATTAACTAAAGAAAATTAATTAAATAATTATACTTTTTATTTAGAGATTAAATGATTTCTTTAAAGTCACTCAAAATAATTTAAATAGTTTTATTAATTAAATAACATGTTTCTAAATATTCTTCTGGTTTTGGAGCAGAAAACAAAGGTTTTTTTTTTAATTATTTTTATTTTACATCTATTTCTTTTATGACTTTCTTTATTTTTGTTAATTTAGTGTCTAAAACTGCAGGTAATTCATTACTTTATCTTAATTATTTAATCATTTCTTCTTATACAAATTTCTAGAAATTAAATGTATTATCACTATTGAAAAAAAATATCATATGTCTACCTATCAATCTATAAATTTTAAATAATTTAATAGAAACACATGAATTATACCAATCTGAAGCAGCACATAATTTAATATATCCAATCAATTTCTCTTTTTATTATATTTCAGTTAAAGCATTACAAAGTATTGATGCTTCAGGTGCAAAAATGATAGATATATAACAAGAATAAAGAAAAGCACTAGTAATTAAAGCAATCTTTGTCTTATGACTACGAGAAAGTGACATATATTCATAAAATTAATCTTCAGAAAATGTTTATAAATCTACCATACTATTAGCCAATATCTTCTTTTATTAAACTACTTCAAAAAATTAGGATGAATATCTTGAAACATTTAAATCTTAATTTTAAGGATATCCAACCAATTTACTAACAATAGCATGTTTACTTAAACTAGAAGTGACAACTTTAGATTGATACTCATTTCCTTCTTATTAATATATAGGATCTAATGAAATAGTTTTTTCTTCTAAATCTAAATGTACATTTTAAATTAATGGTTATAAACAAGCTAGTAATCTGTCTACTCCATTTTAAGATGAAAATATAGTATGTTATACTTCAAAAGCACTAATTAAATCATCTATGAGTTCAAGTGATTTATAATTAGGAAATTTAATAATTTTCCAATCCTCCCATTATTCACAACATTATTAATATAAATTTCTTTTATATTGGCTTAAAATATCATCTGCAGATTAATTATTATCATAATCAAAATCTTCAGCAATATTAACCTTATGCATTTTATTTTTCTTAGATTACATTAAATCTTTTTAAGCTTAAATTTCTTTTTCTATTTCTGCTCTTGCTTTAGTTAATTATTATGTTTAATAATATTTTTAAAAGTTTAAAATATTACTAATTTACATCAAAACTCTAAAGAAATTTAAATGAGTAATATTGATACCAAAATCAGCTAATTAATATTAAATTAATTTTACATTCTATAGATTAAAATAATGGTTAAATAACTAAACAAATAGATTCTATAGATAATGGAGTTTTAATATCAGTTCCTAATTGATCTTCTAATCTTAAGGCTTCACCAATTTCAAAAAGTGCCTTTTAATTAAAGAAATTATTTCTTAATTATGATGAATAAAGATATTGACTTAATAAATATACACAAGAAGCACTTAATGCAATTTTTTATCTTGTCTGATTTTCATCTCCTCTAGTATCTCTACTCATATTAGTTCTTAATCTAAAATATATATATATATTATTTTATTACATTTTATATGCAACCACACATAAATTTGATGATGATATATTTTATCTGAATTGATATGAAACTGGATTTGCATTTGATGATACAATATTACAAAAAATCATTAATAAACATGAAATTTCCTATTTTTTTATTTAATTTTTATACTTCTTCTCCTTATCCATCTGATAATAATTATTATAATTTTTCTAATATCTTTTACATAATTTTCAGATCATCAAATTCCCATTTACGACTTGGTATATTTGATAATAAATAAGTAGTTACAATTCTAATATCTTCTACTGGTGATTCTAAACAAGACAAAATGATCGATTTATATTACCATTATTCTAAAGTTTTCAATTTTTCTTAAAACTTTTATATATCATTAGGATCTGAAGCTTTTTTTTAAATGCATTCAAAAACTTTTAATATTTAAAGTACAGCATATTATAATTCTAAAGTTGGCATATTAGCTAGAGTATGTTCTGCAGTTACTTAAACATTACCATATACTCTAGCCATTAAACAAAATTCATTATATTGATTCTTTGATAATAATGATAAAGTATTATTAAAATTTTCACATGTTGAAACTATTGTACCTAAATATAGATCACAAACTTGACTCTCTAATATTGTTACTAAAAATTAACAAAGACTTCCATATATATATGGATCTAATTTTTTTATAGTCAATAATTTTAAAACTTAGATAAAGATCACTTTTTCTTCTTTCTTATCTGATTTTGTTTTCTCATTTTAACTAGCCAAAAGTTCCCTTTCTTTTTTTTTAATTGGATCACTAATTTCTTTATCTGTTAATATTTTTGTATATTATGGATTATCTACTAAAATCTTACCATATGCTCTAATTAAAGAACCTAATTTCTTATTCATAATTTAACATTGCTCTTAAGTCTTAACAGAATCAGAATTAGCAAAATGATATTTATCTGATTCCAATTCATCTATCATTTTACTAATTTCTGTAGAAATTTTATCAGAATATTTTTCTTTTTATGTTTAATTTGATTTTTTTAGAAATCTATTTAATGAACTAATCATCTCAAAAACATATACTATAATTTTATTTTTTGTAAAAATTTCATCTGGTTTAGCCTTTTTTGGGATAGTAAAACAATAACTTAAAATATCCATCACTCCATCCATTGTTATAAATTCTTCTAATTAAGTGGCAAAAGATTCTGCAACAAAACATTTACTCATTAATTATAATGTACATTCTACTGATTAATCAATCTTTGATTTATCATCTTTAAATATTGCAAAGATTTATTCAAGCCATCTACCAAAAAGAATACATTATTAATCTGTCATCCAATCACCTAATTTTATTTCAGATGCAAAATCAGTTAAACCTTTAAGTAAACAAATAGGAATTGTAAGAAAACTTTTTTGCTCTAAATTAGTTAGAATATTCTTTTAAATTGTTTTTTTAAGTAATTATTTTAAATCTGGATTGTTCTTATACAATATTTTTAAAGATTTTAAACATGACTCACATAATGTTTCATCTTCTGGTTCATTTATTGTAACTAAATTTGTTAAAGCCATTATTATAATCTTTTGAACAGGTTTTTAATTTTCTACTAATAATGTACAATTAGATAAGAATTAATTGATCTTTTCATGAATTTGATTTTTTTAAAACCTAATAATAATTACATTAATTACTAAATTTTAGAATTGAAATGTTTAGACCATTTAGAAGGATCAGATATTACATATGATATTTTAAGAATTAAATCTGTACAAAGTGTTGCAGATTTATTAGGATTGTTAAGACATTATTCAGTTAAATGAATGAATAAATCCAAATATTTCACATCTTAATTCTCCTGTCCTACTTAATCAAACACAGACACATTCATTTCTCTTGGATCTTCTTACAATACATCTTTGATTATTTCCACATTCTTATTTGCTATAATAACATTTTTTATGGCTGAGGCCAATTTAGAATCTCCAAGTTTCATTATATATTATATAAATTTAATATTCAATCAATTATCAAATTTTATTCAATTCATTTAATTGTAGGGTATATTAGAAAGAGAAAAAGGTAATCACCTATCTTACTATATTTATATATAAATCCTTCTAGAAATTATAGGAATGAAAAAGTTAAATTATCCTTCGTATAGTATAGAAATGCATTCTACTTACGAAAATTTTCACTTTATAAATAATCTGGTTAGAATATGAAAGGATACAGTACAATTCTTTATAATAGAAACATAATTTTAATAAGGATAATGATATGGCAATTCTGAAGGATAATTTGCAATTGTCAGAGATTTGATTATACAAAGAATAATAAGTGTCAGTAATCAGAATAACCCATCTTTAATTAAGAATAGGTTTGACTGCTAAATCCTTATTACATAATTAATATTTAACCCAAATAAAATTAAATCTGAAACAATGATTGAAAATTAATTTTCTTGCATCATATTTTTTTATATAATTCATTTAGAATATTATCATTTTGATAAAAAAAATAAATCTATTATTCATTTTATGGTAAAATGATATAATTAAAAAAGAATTATACTAATTTTATTATTTATCCACATATAAAATCAGATTATTAAATTAAGTTAGCTTATTTATATGCTTTATCATTCTTATTTATATCTGATTAATGTTTTATTCTCATTTTCTTTAGATTGAAAGCATGTATTTTTATTTTTTTATTTTTCCTTTTAATACTTACTCTCAGATAATATTAATAATTCTAAGTTAATACAATAAACTATCATAATCTTTCAGTTTTGATTCAATTTGACTTAACACTTCTTACTTCATTATATACTGTTATTAACTTAGACTAAAATTCTTTTGAGTAGATATTTCAAATTTCTATGAAGATTAACTGTCATTAGATGTAAAACTATTGATTCAAAATGCTTTTTTATCTATGAAATTTAAATATAGAATTTAATAATTAATAACGAATATAAATAATTTGTTTTTCAACAGTTGAGTTTTAATCAATTATAAGCATATTGGAAATGTTAAAAATAGCTTTTAACATTACTATCTTTTTGTTAAAATTACTTTAATTTCAACATTAATAAGAATAAAGTAAAATTATAAGTATATGCTTATAAAATTAATCTAAACTATTAAAAATTATATAAATATTTATATATAATTTTCCTATGAAGATACTTAAGCACAAGGTCATTAAATAATATTAATCCCTAATTTAAATATGATAGATATATTCACTATTACAAAGATGTCTTATTTGTTGTCTTTTGATTATTACTCTCTTCTGATTATGGTTGTTTAGTTCTTTATTTTTTGGAAGAGAGAGTTTTGAAATTTTAAAAATTTTCTATAACATTATTAATCTGTTAGGCTAAATCTACGAATGAAACACTAAGCATAGGAAATGCTTCCTAAAAGTCTTAGTCATCTTTCAGTTCAGTTAATATGATGGTTGATAATTTTTACATAATTTATGTAAATGTTATGGCGAATTTCTCATCATTATGTATTAAATAATAATCACTTTCTTCAACCCTTTTAATTATTTACTATTCTCTCATTATTCTTTTAATACTATTCGAAATAAGTATATTAATATTAGATCTCTAAATAATACAATTATGTAATTATTCTCTTGTATGTTATGGTAAATGATCCAAATTTCCAACTAATCCAAAAAAATCTGTAAATTTTTTATATAAAATTAGAAGGTCCTTAACAGATTATCCAGTTTCACTTCTTTATTCTGGAGGTTTGGAAGATGATTAGCTTTGGGGAATGGATAGCACTTCTAAATATGGTTAATCAACTATATTTAATTCCTATTATTGTAGTTTCTGTTTGGCCTATGATTTTGTTCCAGAGCATGCTCCACCCATATTTGAAGACTAAAGGTAATAACTTAATTAAAATACTAAAAAATTTATAAAACTAAATTGATCATACTCTTATAACTATAGAATCAATATTTTGTAATCGGATTCTCTTTAATATAATATTACATTAAATTTTAGATCATATAAATTGTTTTTTTCAATTTACTTTTTTTTATGATTTCTAATAAAATATGTAGACTGTCAAATTTCAAAGGAATTTAAATCTTGCAAGTAATTAGTAATAAATATTATTAAATATATACTAATCAAACACAAATGCTATTGTTCACAAATCTATAAATGTTGGATTCTTATCAACATTCATTAGAACTATAGAATAACTTTATAAGGAAAGTTCCTTTTCTTATTTTCAGTCGATTAATACTGACTAATACTAAAGTACATCAAACAACTAAATAAGTAGTATACCAGATATTTTTAATTTTTTATTACAAAACTAACTTTATGACATATTTATAACTTAATTTATTAGAATTATTATAATTATTTTCCTACCATTCTAGATTATTGTTTAAATATAATAATGTATATGAGACTAAATTAATCTTAATAAATCATAAAATTTAATATCTAGAATAGAATTCAAATTTCTATATAATTTAGCTAAATGAATTCTAATATAATTATATATTTAAATATTAGTAATTTTATAACAAAAATACTTTATGAAAAAGAATATAATGATATTGATTATTTCAAAATTCTAAAATTTATTTCATTATTTTCAATCTTGCAAAATTCTGATTTGAATTATATAATTATCATGGATTTATTAAATCATGAACTCTAAGATATTTATTAAATTATTTTTCTTAATAAAATGAATAAGGGTTTGACTCTCTCATATTCTAAATAGTCAACTAAATTAAACCTAGATTAATCCACAAATCAGACAGATTCTCCTATATTATAGTTTCTCGAAAAATAAAAAAAAAGAAATATCTTTTACATTGGGTTTAGAGTAGTTGCTGTTTAAATTTAACTAAAACATGCTTATTATTTAGTATAATAATTTGATAGAAATTTTAGATTGAAGTAAATGAATATGGAAAAAAATGGATAATGAGAATTCGTTTTAGTTAGTTAATAAAATTTAAGAAAAATTTGTGTAAAAAATACTAAATAAAACTCACTCTTTCATCAAATTTTGTCTTTAATTAATTAAGTCCTGATAACATGAAAAAAAGAGCATAAAAAATTTAATCATTTTTAAATTAAATAGGGGTGTAAATTATTTAAATATATAAAAGGAATTTTATGATTCTGAATTCTTCCTATTGCTAATAGTTTTTATAAGAGTAAAAATGTTTGGGAGAAATGTTGATAGATTACACAGAAGAAGAAAACCTTTAATTATAATCTTGAATAGGCATAATATGATTATGTAATGTATTATTAATAATTTTTTTATCTTTTTTAATTATATTCTATTATTTTGAGATATGTATTTTATTAGAAGAAAATTATTATCAATCAATCTCTGGTAATAATTTCAAACATGTTTTAATACAAATCAAATCCAAAATTGTTAAATTATTAAAATCAATTAAAGACATCATCTTATTTAAGTAAATCATGTAAATCTTTAAAGAAATTTCACCAGAAAATAGAAGTAATTAGTTAATCAAATAAACTAGATATTACTCATAACGATTAAAGTAGATCATTAACTGCTTGTAATCAATATAAAAATCCATCGAAGTAATGGCTGAATTATTTGATCCAAGGTGTTAAACACAAAACTACCTCAAAAATAATAAATTGATAGAAGATCAGATAGATTAGTTTTCAAAATCTGAATTTTTAATTCCAGAGACTAGTAGAGATTAATTAGAAAACCACATCAATTTCTTAAATTATTCATCTAATAAACAAAATGGTTCTAATAATTATAGCAAATAATGATTAAAAACTTAAAATTGTAAACAATTTCTTAAATTGCTTAATAATGTAATAAAATAGTATTATAACCAAAAAGAAAAAATAAGATTAATCATGAAAATATCAATAATCAAAATAATAGAAATTTTACAAATAAATAATAAAAAGTAATTAAAATAAAAATCTTAGCACAAAAACTTCAATAGAAACTGATAACATTTTAAATCAAAATTTTTTGATAAAAATCATATTCTTCAATCAAATTAGACATCACAAAAAAAACAAATTCAAAAATCTATACAGTTGCACTTCCAGATTATGCTAATTTTATAATTTATCTTATAGATAAAATAAGATTCAGAGAATATATAGAGATAAAATAAGTCTATATTAAGGTATTTATTTGATCTTAGGTTTATAGGATTTTTCAATACTAAATCGAAATTTATTCAAAATTATAATAATTGATAATATGCCTGAAAATTTCTAATTGTAATCTGAAAAAATGGTATCTAAAGTTGATTCAGAGATAAAAGAATAGAGCATTAAAAGATCTATAACCTATTTTATATATATTTATAGAATTAGCAATTAATAAAAGCAAAGATATACATGTAGCATTGAATTAATTACTAACTAAATTTCTACTTAATGAAGGAAGTCTAGCATCAGATGAACATGAATATAATACATATATTTATATATTACTTAATTATTATGTGATAATACAGCTATAATGTAATTGAATATGTAAGTGAATGTTAAAATAAAGAATTAAATAATAGATTATGGAGAAGGTAATTTAAATAATATATTTATATTTACAGAATTTTATATACATTTATCTATAAAATCATTTAAGCCAAAAATTACTAATTGCCATAGCAAATAATGTTGCAAACATAATTCCAGTATTATTTGTCATAGAATTTATGCACATACACAATTCTTTACAATTTTAAGGTAAGAATGTTCCAGATACAATAAGATAATTTACATTCACATAACTTGCACCTCCCATTAATCCAACCCATAACATCAAACATATTTGTATAGCAATATTTAATTGATAATTTGAATAATAGTAAGCTATAGCTATTGCTGCCCAAATTCCACAATTTATTCCTTAAATGATTGTTAATAAAGTAACATTTTTAATTTATATAATTTTAAGTGATGATCTTGATATGAATACACCAATTTAATAACAGAATGCCAATATAGCATATGCATTATTTTAAAAATAATTTCCATCAGTTTAAGCTGGATTAGCACGATCTGCCCAACAAGTTAATACAAAATATTCAAAAAAATATACAGCTCCTAAATTTAAGGAATATGACCAAGCTAAATTAAGAACATATCTCATATTTTCAAAACTCATTTATAAATTATTTGTGCTTTCATCTTCTTCTTCTTCCACTAATTAAACTTTTGATAAACTTTTTCTTTTATTATCTAACCATGAAAAATTGTATAGATATATTAATAAAAATGGAATAGCTGTCATAAATATCTAATATAATATTATATAATACCCAAAAATCAGTAAATTTTAGAGCTCTAAGTACTAAGAAAAATCCAGATCCAAATATTCCTGCAAATCCTGTTCCTGAACTCCAAAATCCAATTAAAGAAGAGCTAAATGATTTACAATAACCAAGCATTGTAGCTTCTCCAAAAGATTACATACAACCACACAAAGTAGCACCTAAAAGGGAAATGTAGAATGCATAATCTTATTCAATAATAGTGCTATATAAATAATTATCTATATATTTTACCATACTGCTATAATAATAAAACTCACTGCAGATAATGATATTGCAACATAAATTCTTTTCTTATGTTATATTTTAATAAATAGTTTTGCATTCATAAAGACCATTCCAATAGATAAGAAGATTAAAGAACTATTATGGAATTAAACATTTACAAATTAAATGCACTCATAAAGGATTCCTTATTAAAATGTTTAGCAATAGATTATGCTGAGGTAGCAACTAACACATATCCTGTATTATTGATTAAACCACATAGAAACATAGCTATCGAATATTTGATTTGATTTTATTAAACGTCTCGTTCCTAATTACTCAAATATACTTTACTAATACAGATTCTGTAGCATTTTCATCTTAATTTAATGATTAATAAGTACCATATGTTTAATTTGTTTAAAGCTATTCTTTCATTATTAAATGTTTCTTAATTTATTATAATTATTTAGAGGTGATAAGTAAATTGATCATCCAATTCTTGGTCAGATGTCATGTAAAAGCTTATAAGAAGCATACAAAAACTGTATGAGTTTCATTGATAATGAATAGTATCAATAAAAATAATGTCGACCTTATTATAATTTATGTATATTGTAATATGATTAATTGTTTAGCTGTGTCTTGTTTTTAAGCAAAAGATGATGTAGAATTTTAATAATTTATAGATGATAAAATAGATGAGAGAAGAAGACTAATAAAAGTAAAATTAATCTTTATTGTAGTTTTTAAGAGAAAATAAATCATAATTGCCAGAATTGTAAAAGTCAAACTAATAATAATTTTTTAATTTGTTTTAATTTGTAGATGATGAATAAGGACAAGAAGAATAAGCTAAAAACTTTTATTAAAAATAATAATAAGAGAATAAAAAGTATTTATGAATAAGTAATTTATCTTCAAAAGTTTTCAAACCACAAATAATCAATAAATATACAAAACATTATTATTAATGCTTTATCTTTCTCACTAACACTATCTGGAAATTTTATACCATCTTTATAAATATTATATTATTATTAATTACATTAATCAGCCTTTTGAACAATATTCATTATACCATCAATAGATTAGATATTGAATTTGACCATTAACATAATTATCAATAATTAATTATTCTTCAGCAGATCTTTTATCAATTATTTAATATTTGATAGATTAGAAAGGTAAAAAGCATTTAAATCCTTTTTAATTTATAGTAGCATTAATCTCATAAATAAGGTACTCATTACTATCATAAATGAATAATTAATGAAAAATCCCTTTCATAAAAGAGCAATATTGTTCTTAAACAATTTTAACTGCATATTCGCCATCATATTTAACTTTCATTTCATTTTTCTAAATTAAAAAAATTGTAAATTTTCTTTCTGCTAATTTTGGAATGTAATTATAAAAATTTCTTGATGTATTTATTTAAAGGTCTCAAACTAGGACAACAAATTGTCCTCATCAATTAATGGTTTTCTTCTACTTCAATATCCATTATTTTCTGAGAGAAATCAAAATTACATATACAATTTCTAATTATGAAAATATTTCATTTGATTGAAAAAGCTTAAAATTATTAGGTAATTCACAAGGTAATAGAGGAATTGCTATATTTGATGGGATTGGAAGAGTACAAACACAATATTAAAGTTGATCATTTTCTTATTTAAGAGAACATTTTAACAAATTTTGAGTCCTTCTGACATATTTAATATAAATTATATGTATATTATAGTTTAATCAAAATAGTAATATTGGATACAGTCTCTAATAATATTTAATTTAGGGTCATAATTTATTAATGTTTGCTAATCTTCCAGGAAAAGTAGCTTTGATTACTGGTTCAACAAGTGGCATAGGTTTGTCTGTTGCAAAGAAATTGGCATCTTAAGGTGTTCATATAGGACTCAATGGATTTGCAAAACCAGAAGAAGTTACTGCAATCAGAAAAGAAATAGAAAGCTAATTTAAAGTAAAGACCTTTTATCATGGTGCTGATTTGAAAGAAGGATCTTAAGTATTTTATATAAAATATAATATAGGTTAAAAGTATGGTCTAAGAAACTAGTAAAGCTTTAGGAAGTGTTGATATCTTAGTAAATAATGCTGGAATACAATATATTGAAACAGCAGTTAACTTCCCAGAATAGAAATTCAATGACATTATTGCTATTAATCTCACTGCTGCATTTCTTACAACTAAATATGCATTACCATAAATGCTTGATAAAAATTGGGGTCGTATTATCAATATAGCTAGTGTTCATGGTAATAAACATCATTTATTAAATAGGTTTGGTTGCTTCTGTAAACAAATGTGCATATGTAGCTGCAAAACATGGAATTGTTGGATTAACAAAAGCAACAGCTCTTGAAGTTGCAAAAACAGGAGTTACTATTAATGCAGTTTGTCCTGGATGGGTAATGACCAAATTGATAGAGACATAAATCTAATAAAGAGCTGATTAATATAAGATATCATTTGAAGAAGCATAAATTAAATTATTAGAAGAAAAGTAACCATCTGTAACACCAGTAACAACTGATTAATTAGGAGATTTGATTACATTCTTATGTTCAAATTCAGCTTCATAAATCAAAGGATCTGCCTATACAATGGATGGAGGATGGACAGCATAATGAAATAAAAAATAATTATAAAAAATTAATCAATCATTTTTCTTAGATTTTTAAAATATCTTTAAGAAATATCAACAATAAGTATTTAATATAAATACTTATCATATCTAATTAAACATAGTTCTCTTTATATTCTTTGATATTACTTAAATTAAGATAAAGAAACATATAATCAATAATTTATATCATAATATAATTAATTAATTTAAATTCATTTCTTCATTCTTACTTATTTTCTCTTCTTTTCATTATTTTCACCTATACTTAAGATTTAAGATTATGAGATCTATTATGAACTTCTTGCATCTTATCTATTATTGTTACTCATCAATATTGGAAGATATTCTAAAATTTCATCATAATTTGGTATATGAAACATTTTTGGTTAGTAAATAACTTATTCATACAATTCTAAATCCCTCTTCTTAGTTTTATTATATCTTTATTATCTTAATTTTTTTATATATTAAGAATAGACACTCATCTCTTTCAAAAATGTCCTTAACATTTCTTTACTGTATGTATTCACAAATTCTGTTTATAGAATACTAGTATTTATTAAAATAATAACATACTTAAAATTTTCTTGATTCTATAATAAAAATATATATTGTTAATACATCTCTTTCTTTCTCTAATTTAATTGATTATAATTCTTAAGAAGTTATTCTCTAAAATATTTCTACCATAAACCTAATAATTATTTTTTATAGTTTTTAAATTTCAATAGAAATTCTTGAAATATTTATCTAATTTTTTAAATCTTGATATGAGTACTGACTACTTAATTTTTAAAATGATGTAATTCAGCTCTTTATTTTAGAAAGGGTACTATTTTTTATATATGTTCTTTTACTTACTTTTAATAAACTGCTCTACAAAAACATAATGAAGCTCTAATTATATTATAATTAATTTATACAGTTTAACATCAAAAAATACTCTATCATATAATGTTAATCCTTTAATTGCTATGAGTCTTTTATGAATTCTTTTCATAATTCTTTTAACTTAAAATGCCATCAAAGTAGATTAATTTTATGCTTCAATTTTATGTTAGTATACATGTAATATTTTACTACTCATTAAAGCTATATAAATGAAATTTAGCCAATGATAACATACTTTATTTTTCAATGTTTTTTTTGATTATACAAAATTAGATCTTTGTCTTAATATTTTACCTAATTCTCTTGTTTTTTGTTCATATACTTTTCTTTATTGTTCATTTTAATTTAACAATTTCTTTCTAAATAAAACATCTTCTATTCTATTATCAGATTGTACTCTTTTCATTTCTCTAAAACTCCTTTATTATTCTTCATTATATTCTACTACTTTTTAAATATTTTCTTTTATTAAATCTTTAAATATTCCTCTTTATCTTAATCTTTATTTTCTTCTTTTTTTTATTTCAGCTACCTAAGCTAACAAAAAATCAGAATTCATTCTTTCTAATTATTATTATTAAGGATTTTAAAGAAAAATAGATTCAGTTTCCATTTTTTTTTACATTGTTTATGGTCTTTTCATTATTTTTGTACCAAATTAATATTTTAATTTGACTTAAGTATCTAAATCACAGACCATACTAATATAAATATATTCACAATGAAATATTTTAGATTCATCTACCTTATATTTCCATCCCTTAACTGATATTATCTAATCACAAGAGAAATTTGTTGGAAATGGATTAACAGATGAAACAAATATTTTAAAATTTGTATTTTCAGTTTAATTCATATAGAATTATAATGGAACAGCCTACATTTTTGATCTAATCTTATAATAATAAAATTCCATCTATCTGACTGACTAGACATTCCATAATTCAGGTTATAACTCTATAGGATGCTTTATAAATACTTTTGAATATAATTTATACCTTATCATGCTAATAATTAATAAATGTTTCTCCAAAACTCAACTACTGACTATTTACTTGAATTGGTAACTCAGTTTGTTCAATACGAAAGTCAAGCACCTTGTCCCTCTTATAACAAATCCATTTTACTCGGCCTGAGAAATAAGTTGCATTCTCTTTTAATAATCTGGTGTCATCTTCTATGTCAAATAAGCCATCTAATTTAGTATCTTTGATCTAGTTTTGAATGAACTAGCAGTCTTTGGTGGTTTTAAGCTACTCTCACGAAACAAGTCATTATCAGAGTCTTCACTAAAGAGACTCTATTCTTTAAACAAATCTGTTTTAAACTTTTCTTAGGCACTAGGAGTGTTACACAAAACTTGTGATTTCACTTTGAAATGTCTACTAGATTATTATTATAAAGATGATTTTTAGTTAGACTCTAGAACACTTTGTGAAAATATCTAATTTCTTTTAGGAGCAGTTCTGCTTACGACTTACTTATTTAGCATAATAAAAAATTAAATAAATAACAATATAATTCAAGAGAATAATATCACTTAATTCAGTGGTTTTTTTAATTAATATCTTATTATAAGATATAAACATATAATGTAATATAAATAAAAAGATATAAACAATCATAAAAATACTGCCATATAAGTGTTTATTAGTGCTATACAAAGAAAAGCTATACCTCCTAGAAAATTGAAATTTTTCTCAGATAACTTATTTGCAATCAATTTTCCACCATGAACAGCTATAACTGTACATATAAAATGAGCTATGATTGCACCTAAGAAAATATAATAAGGATTATATATTGCTGATAAACTTATAGTTGTAATTTGACTTTTATCTCCCCATTCACCCAAAAGCGTTAAAGTAAAAGCTTACCAAACCACTGATTAGAATTATACTTATATAAAATCTATTATAAATATTGAGATTATTACTTTTAGTAACATTATCATTAACTTGATCTGTCTCAGGATCTGGTAAATTCATCAATTTTTTATCTAATGTTGTTAATTCCTATTCAACCTCTTGTAAATCTTCTTTCTCTTTTTTCATTGTGTACCATGTATATAAGAATTTAATTCCAAAACCATAAAAAACAATCGAAACTATAATTTATGCATATAGGATTGAAATCAATTCAGGAATCACAAGTCCAAAAATTGTACTTATTGTTGTGATGAGTATAAGTGCAAGAGTAGAGCCAATTAAAACTGCTATTCGATTATATTTTATTGACATTATAGCAGCTAAGAAAAAGGTCTATTATCGTATTATATATAATATATTACTTTATCTCCTAACTCTGTAACAATTATCGAACTAAATGATTAAGATAAACTAAGTAGTATTTTATCATTTCCATCAAAGCATAAAGTCTATTCTATTAGAATAAAAAATAATATTATGCTATTACATTTCATAATATTAATATTTCTTCTTTTATTATATATAAATATATTTTATAAAAATTATCTTATTCATCTATATGAACATAGATATATTGCAATTTTAATCATATCTCTAGATAAAATTCTTATTATTTTAAATTTAAGTATAAAAACAACTTAAAAATAAAAAGTTAGTATTTATTAATGTATTTTAATAAATTAAGTTTTTAGTTGTGAAAGAGCTTAGATTAATATTAATTTATTTTAATATTAATTAGAATAGTTAATAAATATTCTAAATATAAGATGAACATCCAATAATTTCCAAATTATTATCCTTATGTCTTAGAACCTTAAGTACCATATTAAACAGAGATCGAACAACAAAGTATGTTAATAATAAATTATTAATTCAGAATTAAGCTCCAGTTCAAATTACAATGAGTATAACTTTATCCATTAGAATTTTCATCCATCTGCATATCCTCAATATTAATTTGAATATGTTTAAGAGCATGAAATCCCAAGTTAAATAAAGAATAAAAAAATTAAAAAGAATAAGTAATTAAATTATATATTGCAACAGGACTAACGATTAATAAGGGTTATTACCGAAAACCCTCGAATCATAAAAACAAGTTGTTGAAGATCTTTAATAAATAGCTTAATAAGGAGAATAGATGTAAAATATAAAATTAATTTCATTCAAGATTAAAGCCAATAACTCCTTATACAGTTCTACATTTTACATAGGGAAGTCCTATGCCTAAGCTATAGTCCGATTTAG